CTATCTATGCTCGACTGGGAGGGGTTCTGTGAAGGGTTCTGTGGGGTAGTAGGAATATCCATTTCCGTGTCCACGCTACTAAAAGGAGAGTCTCCTTCTCTTCTTATTCGCATCTCATTACATGCTTGCCGAATTGCTCTCTTGTTTTCGGTTGAGGGGTGTGTCTCTGTAGCCTTTGGCCTAAGCTGGCACATAGGGTCGTCAGAGGCATGAGGGACACTACAGTGTAGGCACTTCAGTTTACACTGAGAGTGTCTAATACACCTAGGGTGGAAATCTTCAGAGTGCTTGGTAGTACCACATAGGCGGCATCGCTGGTTCTTGCCACAGTTCCTTGAGTTATGCCACATCCAGCACTTGGAGCATTGGGTAACATTAGAGACTTTAGGAAGTCGCTTAAAGAAGGCTCTTCTTCCGAGAAGAGACGTTATATCAGGAATAGCGTGAGAGGCCCTAGCTTCCTCTTCCTTGAAGAATACAATCCAGGAGGTGAAGAATAGTCCGTTATAAAGAGAGCTAGTAGCCATGTCAACCTTAGTTGGCACTACTCCAATTCGCTCTCCTATTGCTGTAGCTACTACTCTTGCTGTAGTTGGGGAGAGAGTCGATATAATCGCCCCCTTTTCATCAATTTCGACAGTTTCGACACTTCGAGGGACCCCTGATAAGCGAAATACTGCCCAGTCTTGCGAGGTCTCTATTCTAGCCGCATGGAAAAGGGTTTGGATAAAGGCCTTCTTTGTTGACAGAAGGGTGTCCAGAGCTTCTTTACTCTTAGCTACAATAGCAAACCCAGAGTTAACCGAAAGTACTTCTTGTACAAGCTCTTTACAGCCAATTTTTGGGTCGCAGAGTGCAAGGTAGATGGCTAGGGCAGAGTGTTTCCTTTCAAGAGAGTCTAGAGGAAGTCGAATAAATACCCTAAGATCGGGTTTGGCTAGGGGGCCTTTGTTCTTCTGTGACTTTAAAGTAACAGTAGGAGGGGGTGGTGTTGTTGCTGCTGTGGTTGTGCCTAGATTCTCAGGCACTAAGGCACTCTTTATGGTCTGTGCGTATGAAATTTTTTCCACAGGAGCCAGAGAGGGGGTTGAGATCGTAGGAGACATAGGGCCATCTCTGCCCCTTTGGGAGGCTCCAAGAGCGGACGGTAGTGGAGGCGGGGTCCCTGAGGTGTATGTTCGGTGGAAAGCTAAGCTAAGGTCGGCCACCTGAGTGCAAAAGGCCCTGAGGTAGGGCAAGAGTTCCGGGGGAGCCCTATCAAGAGCAGTGTTTAGGTGGTGGTCAACGGCTTCCGCGGTACCTCCAAAGAAGATTTGGCCTATAGCACCACGTTCTAGAGTTTTGGTGGTTCCAGAAACGAAGTGCTGCTGTATATTGGGTAGTGGGGGCATCGGGCGTACTCCCCCCTTTTTCAGGCCCCTTCCAACGGGCGTGGGCGAAATCAGAGGTTTCCCTGGAGGAGTCTCCATGGAGGGAATTTTAGCTTGTCAAACGAGAGTAAGAGAGATTGAGCGTTTTATAACAAAATTTTCAATCTACGAAAAAGGTTGTGTTCGAAGTTGTATATCTACAATCATATGTTTGAGTTGTGACATCAAGCACACTGACCAATAATGATATCCGTGGGTCCTTCCAGTGAACCTCACAATGATGTTGTTTTTGTTAGGCATTCTTGGCTATCTTGTGGGTCCTATCGTCTAGTTGCCCAGGAGGCATCAAGCTCTACCGTCGACCAATTCCTCTCTACCTTGATAGGCATACTGCCATCAGCCACCTGACAAGTTGAGAACCTGAGGCAAGATGGTGTGATGGCGTGATGGTGTTCGCAAAGCAAGAATTGCTGGTTGCTAGATTGAAAGCTGCTCCTTTTCATTTGACATTCATTCCTCTTGTGCAATGCTTATAAGTTATAAAGAGCGCTTCCCACCTGAATGTGATTTCCAGTAGCCTTGCTGTTCATTTCATCACCAAACAAGATTCTTCTGGCATCTTTGGGGTCTTCGTGGTTTGACATTTCCTTAATCTCTCTGTCGTGCCAAGGGAAATTACAAATTCGCTTAGCCCTGCCGATTGTTATTGGGAGTGCCGATTTAATGGTCACAAGCCTGCGGCTCAAATACTAGCTCCATTTGTTTGGCAACCCTCAGCACACAATATTGCAAAAAGAAGGGTTGATATCAAGTGTCCAACAGTAATTCCTCAACCCCTTTCTGCGGGCGATTGTCAACTTTCTCACTCTAATACCGCATTTGCTAGAGCTCCAAGAGTAGAAAGCTTTCTTCATAAATTTGTTCTGTGAATAGGGATTCTCCCAAGCATATGCTTCCTTGAGACCAAGGCTACGCAGAGTACCTCCAAGTGATATTCCCCCGCCTTTGTTATTTATATCTCTCCACTGGTACTCGATTTCTCATTAGGTGAATTTCGCTTTTGCTACAGGCAGCGCGTAGAGCTCTTGGCCTGTTGTCAAAACAATAGGGCCACTTCAGAAAATTCCGCTGCGCCTTCTGCCTTTTTCTTTCCACGACTTACCTTCTCCAAAGACAAGAACAACCTTGACGGCTCTTCTTTTGATTAAGGCGGCAAGAGGATACTTTTGATATACTTGGAGAAAGCCTTCTCCCCGCACTTGTTTCTGCCTGATTCTTCTTCTTCATACCCCTCCCACTTCAAAGATATAACGCCACAGCCACCGAAACCAGGTGCATTCGCTAAAGGCAGCACGAGGGCACCGAAGCACTAGCGCGCAGCGCGCTTTCAAACTATTTCAAGGATATTTCCTCCCTCTTCCCCCTCTTCCTCCTCCTCTTCTCTACATCCTACATCCACTTTACGAAGCAACGAACAACTTTGTCAACGTCGTCCGCGATACCGAACTCGATCCAAGGTACGTCTTCTCTCCATTCTCGTCCATCCTCTTCATATGTTGTATATCTTCAGAGCACTCGCACACCTCGCGTGCAGCATCCCTTCGCATTTCCCCTCTTCACCCTGCCTCAAGTGGGCAAGCCTTCAACCCCACACTTTCAGGACCTGCCCTCATATAACCATATACTGCTCTTCCTTATTCATATACACACTCATTGGTCTCCTTCTATGAGATACTCAGCAACACATCAGCAGCCAGAAGATCTCCTGGCGTGTTGATTGTTGCCTTGGTGCTCGGAGGTGTCAAATCAAAGCTGAGGTCGGTTTGCATTCACCACCATACAAGTTTGGCTTGACACTCTAAGGAGATTTGGTTCACCTCCAAGTTGGAGGTCAATACCTCTCTAGCAGTTGGCTCTTTACTCTTTGGTCTTTACTTCCTTCTTTGCTTTCCCCCTTTTTAATGCCACCGACAGTGTATTACGCGCGAATACGCGAGTTGGCGCGTTGGGTTGGGGGTGATTTTTTTTGTTCCGAGATCGGCCGGATCGGAAAAACCCCCCTTTCCGCCCCTTCGCTTAGCCTTTCACCTGTTTGTGTCACATTTCCTTTTGTGGTCTTGAGGTGTGGGTGAGATCAGGTTTTGCATGAGGCACAACAACCTTCACACCCAAACACCAAGAGATATTTCATTCTTCCACTCTTTTATCCTTCATCAAATAATTGTTTGTTGTCATGTTATGATGTTCCTCCCACACATACGCAAGACATTCACAAATCAACCCCTCCATCCTTCTTGCCCTACACCTCTTTCATTTCTGTTGACCTGTCGCTACCTGCTTTCCATATATGTGCCCTCCACCAACAGCCATCAAGTAGATCTGCTTGCTGTCTATTGGCTTCTTGTCCTATCTTTTGGTGCACCAGTTTGTCCTTTTGTCATATGTTCATTCCATTGCCATCAACTACACATTGCTTCAGTATACTCTCACGCATCTTGGAGTTGTCTTGATCATCTGTCGCTAACTTCTCTCAAGATCTTTTAGGATCTTGCTTTTGTTCCCTTGTCGTTGCTTTTGCCTAGAATTGCCGACACGCTTGCACGCTCAGTATCGTAAGTTGCCCTCTCATGATTGTTTTGAGTAGCAAAACCCGTCAGAACAAATCACTAACTGTCAAATAGATATAGATACGTAAAGTTGAATTCGCAAGGCAGTAAGTTTTCTCTCTCTGCAAATCCAACACACAAGTTCAAGTTTTTTTATTTTCAACCCCCCTGCTGTCTTGCATTAGTTTGGTTTCTGTTCCATTCAAGACAGACAGTTGTCATGTGCATGGACCCGACAAACGCTGCAGTTAGCCGTTCATACCAACCTTATTTGTTCGCAGCAAACGGGCTGACCTTCTAGAATATTAGATCAGGAACCTTCAGAAATCGGGTCTCTTTTGATACCTTGTAAGTCTTGAAGCCTCGCCCGTCTTCAAATTGCCTCGACTGACCTTGATTTCTTCAACAGATTCTGGGCCCCTCGTTGCAGTCTCGAACATAGACTGTATAGATAACTTCTTGTTCGTACTCTTTTTCCTCATCCAAATTGCCCTTTCTCTATCTTTTGTCATGTCTCCACTGGACATCGACCTCTTGGGTTCACCCATATCTTCCTCCGACTCCCTTCCTATCCGCACCCCAAGTCTAGCTAAAGATACCGGGAATTTTGATCTGTCCTCTGTGCTGACCCCAAATGAAGTAAAGTCTACTGTCAAGAAAGGAGTCGACTTCGCCATGGCCAACAACCAGGATCCGCGTTCTGGCCCATACGGCGGTCAACCCTATATTAACAACTATAGCTCACCACCCCCTGGCCCCCCTTACGCCCCTAACTATGCCGCTCCACCATTCTTTCCTGCCCAGCAATATGCTCGCCCTCGCGGTAATTCAACTTTCATGGGACACCAGTCTGGAGTTCCGCTATCTGCTGTGGTCCCAGGCAATGGACATGTATCCGAGATCCAATTAGATCATGCCTACGCATATGCTATCCGTCGACCAGATGGACATATCACTCGGCTCCTACCAGCAGATGCTATGCCTGCCTTGGACGGCATCTCCCAGTATCAAGGCCCAGAGGGAGTCATCGTTTTGCCACAACCACGTCAGCCATCTCCTCGCCGCCGCTTGGCCAATGGTGCCCCTGACCAGATGGTCTCTCAGGACGTAAGATATATACTGTCTTCTTGATATACCCTTTCAGTTAACATCAATAGGTTGTCAACAATTTGCAGTTTGAGAGCATGGGTCTTGGTATGAGAGATACTCAAGTAAGTGTCATATCCCCTCACCCGTTTCCATCCAGATGCATCTGGATGAGAATCGAGAATTGTTTTTCCCAAGGTTGACTTTGCTGACTCTAGGCTCAGAGCCACATTGATTCCATTGTCGCCCAATCTTCGGCTTTTAGCCCACCCCCGCAACGTCGCGAGAAGATCTACTGCGATAAGTGGATCCACGAGGGCGTGTGTGCCTTTACTCAGATGGGTTGCAAGTATAAGGTAGGTGAATCCCTCTTTCTCGCCACTTCCAGACCCTGAGCTCTACTACTGTGAAGTGCCTTGCTCGCTGCCCCTAATTTCATGCCTCTCAAGAGAAAGATAAACTAATTTATTGAAAAGCATGAGATGCCAACCGACAAGGCTACACAGATGTCGCTTGGTCTTAACCATGGTTTGCCCTCATGGTATAGACGTGCGTACTCTGTTGGAAATGCAATTGGCAGTCCCGGTCCTTCTGAGCGTGCCGGCAATCTCCTTGGAAGCCCACCCACTGCTGGACGTATCAACAATCCATGGCGTCAACTCGAGTCTGCCCCAAACGGTAACAACGGCAACGGCAATGGTTCGTACAAGACTCTCTGTTCCCTGTTGCTTCCCCTGACATTTTACTGACGCAGATTGTGTAGGTGCCTCTTCCGCATACGGTGCTATCGGTACACCTTTCTCTGCTTTTGGTATGCAAGGCCGCCGTGAGAGCATGCAAACCGACCGTATCAAGACTGTTGAGGAAGAAGACGAAGAGAGTGATCAAGTATCTTCCTACAACGGTCGTGGTCGTGCCAACACCAAGGCCTAATCGCCAGTGTGATTGATCCGCGAACACCTTTTCTTTCGTGAATATCTGGTATGTTCATTGAAATTTAAGGTATGCATCCAATGGACTCTCCACTTGGATTGCCACCTTTCTACTGCCCGACCTTCATTCATAAGGCTTACTTGGGCTCTCCGACATTACATCAATTTCATGCATTCAGAAGGTGCTTTTCATGCACTTTGACCTTTCCAAAATTTCCACTCTACGAGAAAACAACAAATGCGACTAGGGCTTGATGTCTGACGTCCACCAAAAAAATCTCATTCTGCTCTTTCACGAACCTGCATTTTACGAAGTCACGACTATACCCTTCAACAGCATTGCACTGGCGTCCCCTCAACCAATTTCCGGAGTTCGAATTTGGCATTTCCTGGATTCCTATACGGATCATCTCCACTGCGCTTTCCTTCATAGAGAGAGTTTGCACTATACTCATCGGGAATAGACAAGATTGGACTGAATGGACACACGCATCTTTTTTTGTGCTTTTCCTTGGCATGGATCTCTTCCTGGGATCATAACATTGTTGTAGAGGCGTCTCCAGAGGGTTTGTCTTCTTGATGGTTCCTTACATTGGTCCTGCATTTGCTTTGGTATTTTCATACTTCGCATGTTCTTTTCTTTCTTTTCTTCTTTTCTCACAGAGCCCAGCATTAATACTTGCTACACCGCTGCGGTTCTGTTTTTTTCCTTTTCTGAAACCATTTCCTAGTTGACGTCGGTGGAGATGATGGGAGCGTTTGGAACTATCGTCAGGTTGGGCTCTGTAGATGGACATCATTCTGGCTCTTTAGATTCTTGCACCTGCAACTAGATGACTAAATAAAAAAAAAGCTTCGGCACCAAAAACACATGTGTATGATCGTGATGGGAATGATGTGTCTATGATATTTACCTTACTCCTTGATATGACCATACTTCCTCGAGGGTTAGCATGGCAAAAGATGTGGTTATCGTGAGATGTGGATATGCCAGCCCTCCTTTTTAATCGCTCGACCACAAGTGCGTTTCCTCACGCATCTTGATCCCATGTCAGGAAATCGATAGACTACGTCATACCTCAAGGTATCGTAAGAATCAGCAAACAATTGTGTCCGCCCACATGACGGGCTTCGACGACCGCCAAACCCAAACCACCAGTCCATTGAGTTTGAATGCTAATATTGCGGCCAAATCCTCGCGGTTCAGGTCTGACGACCCCAGGAGCAAACCTCCATGCTCAGGCACGCAAGACCATGAACTCACGAGATATCTGAAGGTGCAACTACTCGATTGTTGCCGGTAACCCCCTCACAACTTTGGTTTACGGAGCTATCATCTATGGAACTGACTTGGCAAAAGTTAGCAGAGGGAAAAAGGGAACCACCATTGTTGCTAGTTCAAGAAGATGGGCCGACAGTTCCCCTCTACTCCGCGATATCAGCATCCAAGATCGAGGGATTCAGGACTAGAAACTCTTCTCAATGACCGAAAGGGAAAGAAAAGCGAGGGGTGTTCAGAGATACATAAAGGAAGAGACGACTGACTTGACTTGCGAAACGGGGGCAAATAGTAGGATCACGCCAGAAGAAGCAACAACAGCCCTAAAAGCTTCTCAAGTCTTCAACATCAATTCAGATTTCTTGAAAGCTCTAGCATAGAACTCAATCCCTTCACTTCCACTCCACACTCCAAGTTCCCATGCCCCTCCTAAAAGGAACAACTTCCACCCCCTCCTTCCCCGTAATCAACTCCTGGATCTTTTCCTCTCCCTTCCTAAGCACAATCTTCTCTCCACTCAGATCCTTCACCCCATAAAACTCCCTTCCATAACCACTCAACAACCCCTCCAAGATCTCCTTCGTCACATCCTCTTCTTTAATGAGTTTCCGCTCGATAGCAAGCTCGAAAGCGTCGAGGATGAGCGAAGTAACGTTTGCTTGTGTGAAAACCCCGGCTGCTGTCTTGCCTGTTCCACCTTTCTTTGAGGAAATTGGGTGGGGTGCAGAGTCTGAACCTAAGAAGAATTTTCCGGTACCTGAGAGAGCTGCGTGGATGAGGGCTGTGCGGTCGCCTGTGCGATGTTAGTTTGTGTTTGTGTTTTATGGGAAGGGAAAGTACTTGGCCATTTGGCAACGGGTTTGCAAAAGCAAAATGCGTCGTCGGCCCAGTCGTCGACTGTGAGGAAGAGATGATGTGCTCTGTCAAGACAAGAGTGTTAGCAAGAAGTTTGCAAGAGGTTTTGTCAGGAAAGTTGGACATACGTGATTGTTCCCACAACATTAGGACCGCAGGATTTGACTGCCTCGACAGCTTCCTTGGTTGTGCAATGCTCCAGAACTATCTTCAAGTTGGGAAATTTCTCGTGGAGGCTTTTGAGCGTTGGCAAGAACGAGCTCTCGGCATTCAGGATGGTAATGTTTTTGTCGTGATCCGAGGGACATTCTCCGTGTAAGTTCAAAACCATACCACATTTTTCCATAGCTGTAAAGACAGGATAGAATGGTTCATAAGAAATGACACCCGAGGACGAGTTTGTGGTAACACCAGCGGGATCTGGGAAGTTTGACGTATTAGCAATACTGTTTGTAGAAAGGGCATGTTTTGGCAATTGAGCATGGTTTGGGTTTGGGAACTTACAGGATTTCACACCCACAATTCCCTGTGCTTTGGCACCTCTAATGACCGCTGGGGTGATGCTGGGATGAAGATAGAGGGTCATGAGGTAGTTTATGCTTGGGTCAATTGCACGGAGGCGAGCTTGATATGCCATCGCATCTGATGAGGAAGTAACTGGTGGGACAAGGTTGGGCATCTGCTCAAACATTTAGACTTAGCATATTTCTATCCTTGTTATCCGATTCCTTTGCTCCCTGAACTGAGATCTTTCCACCTGTACCTAACGAATGCCGAGGACCTTTGATGGAGAAAGTGCAGTTCAACCTGCCATCAAAACGTGGCTTCTGAAAAAAGTCCAATATTCAAAGAGTTATCTCCTCCCTCATAATACTCCAAGAACATAGAAACCTAGCCTCAAGTCTCAAGCTCCCCAGCATACAAAACTCTAAGAGACAACCACAGGATAACCCCCCAAGAAACAACAACAAAAGAAATTCAAAAAGCCCACTCACCACATAAACAGTATTAACACCCCCCTTCTTAATAGTGGGAACCACCGTCTCCATCATCGCCCCATCCCGAAGATGCACGTGAAAGTCAGCTGAGGCCGGCAACTCCAGGCCATTGAACTTGGAGAGCGACATCTTCACTACTATGTATCAGCTTCAAAGTCTAGAAAAAGAGGTGGAATCAAGTTCGCAAAGATAAAAGAAGCTGGCTTGATATCATAGACCAAGAGAAAAAGGCGTGCGTACCAAGAAAAAGCAATCCTCTGTGTGTAAGAGTTTTGCTTTTAGGTAGGCCAAAGCCAAGAGATGTGGTGTTATCTCGCTGAATTCAAGATGTCTGAAGATTCCTCAGATCCAAAGAGTAGTAGCAATCTAATCTCCGCACTAAAAAGTTTAGGTTCTGGGTGAAAATGATCCAGTGACGGGAGTGACTCGTCCAAATCGAGTTAGTTGAAAAATCACAAATGCCAAGCCATGAATCTGGAAAAATTCCACTTTTCATTAGCTCTACATTGCATGCAAAGTGCAACTACCAAACGACGCCAGGAGCTTCCCAAATGGTGCTGGCGGCCGTGGGGTAAATTTTCTCAATAAGAGTACATGAAGACCTCAATTTGCATACTTGGATTACGACAACCATCGTTCCATCTCGCAATCCTCTTTTACGCCAAACAATTATGCCACCAAATCAAATCCTCTTGACGCCCAACCCCCCGATTTTGACCCACGCACATAGGGCCTGAAAAAGTCATTCATAATAGTTACACATTGCCTATTCACTTCTTTTTGCCACCCTTCTTGCCCTTGGCACCTTTGGGTGTGGTAGCCACAGGACTTGAAGTTGTTGATATAACACTGGAAGCACGAGAAGAAGGGGCAGCGGAGCCAGCCTTGCTTGCTGCTGCTGATTTGACGTTGTCAAGAGCTTTGTTCTGAGAGAAATTTAGCAAAATTATCAACGCGGCAAAATGGATATATCATACCTTTAGGCCATTCTTAGCTTTCTTCTTCGCTGGTGCCATGCCCAAAATGCTGTCTTCATCATTGGCATCATCATCAGGCTCTCGCTTTCCCTTTCCGGTTGTGCCATTCTTGGTAGGAGCCGAACCATCTTCAAACTCTCTCGCAACAGTCGTGAGTAATGTTGTGCATCTTCTGCTGATTTCGATTGGTGTTCGGCTCAGGAAGAACCAATCAAATCTGAACAGAGGACTCTCCCGAATATCGTCACGAATACGCTCATGAAGGTTCTCACCATCAAGGCCATATTTGTCGAGAAGCACAAGCAAGAAGCGGTCTTCCTCTTCAGTATAGACCTTCTTGTTTGTTGTAGAGACCGAGTAATTGATCTTGAGCTGCTGTAATGGCACACGATACTGTGACATCTTTTTGCGCAGCATCGCGCGTTGGTGCTCCATCTTTCGAGTCTTCTCCTCTCCCTCCTCAATGATTGTTATGTACTTGGAGTAATCAGCAATTTCGGCGAAGCGTTGCCAGAAAACCTTTGCATATTTTTTAATCTCGTCTTCGGTCTTGCCATCAACAACGTCTGCAATTGCATGGAAGTTCTTACGGCCAAACTTGCCAGATCCGTTGACGAATTGTTGGAAATCACGGCGATTCCACTCTCCAAATCCTTGCTGCGAAAGCTGTTGCTTTAGTTCTTGTTCTTCTTCTGTGAGGGGCACTGCATCATCGATCTCTTCCTGATCAAGATTACGGTTGGCCTCTCGTTCAGCAAGATCTTCAGGCGTTCCATCAGCGAGAGGAACTTTGTATCCAATCTCCTTTCTATGAAAAGCAGTTTCACGGTCTTGGAGATCTGTAAGCAAGGGAGGGAAGAACTGATAGTCGTGGACAGTGACCTGTTTTGGTGCACGAGGGGCTTTTGGTTTAGTATCTGCAACACGTCCACCTGTAGAAAGAGCTTGTTTATAGTACTTGTCCATCGAATATGATTGTTCCTTTCGCTCACGCTTGGCAGGATTGATCCAGCTCAACCCGATTTCTTTTTTCTTGTTGGTGAAATCCTGGCCGTTCCACTCGTATGCAGACTCGGAGGTGAACTTTTGCAGATCGTCAATTCCAAGTTTTTCATATCGTGCATTGAGTTCCGCAGTTCGCTTTTCGCCGTGTTTGAGAATCTCATCAATGTCATCGTCGTTTAATTCCTGTCCCTTCTCAGTCAGGGCACCTAGACCACCATTGCTTTGGAAGACCATCTCAGCCCCATGCTGGATCATGCTAAGCAATTCATCCTTATTGGCAGCGGCCTTTGCAGCAGCTTGTGCACGGCCTTGCTGGATAACCAGCTGATCAAGTCGAAGCTTCTGAGCGGCACGCTCAAGAACTTTCTCCTCAATCGCGTTTTCCGTCACAAATCTATACACGACTACCTGCTTGGTCTGTCCAATTCGATGGGCTCGGTCCATAGCCTGGAGATCTGCTTGAGGATTCCAATCGCTATCATACAAGACGACGATATCTGCACTAGTCAAGTTAATACCAAGACCTCCTGCACGGGTAGTCAAGAGGAAGACGAATTTTTCGGAGTCGGGTTTGTTGTAATCATCAATGGCTGAAATTCGATCCTCATGGGCGGTACCACCATCGATTCTGCAGTATTTGAAGTCTCTGAAGACGCAGTAATCTTCAAGAATGTCCAACAATCTACTCATTTGCGAGAAAATCAGAACACGGCTGCCTGCCTTTTTCATGCGCACAAGGAGTTTGTCAAGCATGACCATTTTGCCTGCATTAAAAATCAAATGCTCATCAGTGGTATAAGGTGGTCCAGGTTCAGCTCCCTCGAAAAGGTAAGGGTGGTTACAACACTTTCGTAGCTGCATGACAATGTTCAACAATCGAGTTTTGGACTCTCGCTTGCCTCCGGCGCCATTGACCGCATCGATGTCCTTCTCCAAGATCTTTTTGTACCATTTGACCTGCATATCAGACATGCCAATGTACAAGTTAATTTCCTTTTTGGGCAAAAGGCTCTTCTCCACGTCGGCCTTAACACGTCGGAGCAAAAAGGGTCTCAGAACTCGATGGAGTTGTTGTACAACAGTGTCCTGGTCTTCACCTTGGCCAGAGAACCACTGGTCAAATGCCTCGGCATCCCCGAAAACATCGGGAAGAAGAAAGTTTAGTAAAGCCCAGAGTTCGTGGAGATTATTTTGCAGAGGTGTTCCAGTGATCAAGAGGCGGTTTCGAGAATTGAACAGCCGGATAACCTGTGCAAGTGAAGATTCCTCGTTTTTGATGCGATGCGCCTACTTTTGTTAGTGTGGCTCTTTGCAGTATCCTTGAAAACTCACCTCATCGATAATGATGTATTCCCAGGCAAACTTCTTCAAATGTGATTTTTCTCGTAAAATCATTTCATAACTCGTAATGCAAACGTCAAATTTCTCATCAATCAGGCGCTCGTTGATCAGATTGTGCCGCTCTTCCTTAGCACCTTGGAGGACCAAGACATTGACCTCCGGAGTCCACTTCTCAAATTCTCGCTTCCAGTTGTCCAGCGTAGATTTTGGTACCACCACCAGATGAGGACCTGTGATGCCCATAATATGCCTCAAGTATCCCAAAAATGAAATTGTTTGGAGAGTTTTGCCCAAACCCATTTCGTCTGCCAGTATTCCCGAGATACCGTTTTCGTGAAGAGAAATGAGCCAATTGAGACCCGCAACTTGGTAGTCACGCATTTGGCCACCCTGAATGAAGCCTGGGGATTCTCGGAAAACCGTCTCCGCAGATCCGCCAACCTTTTCGTCCTTCAAAAGCTCAGCGTCCTCTTCCGCCTCTGTTCGTCGGCGTCTATCGTTGGCAGCACCGCCCTGTCTATCACGACATTTCTTAATTTTGTCGGCCTCTGCATTCTGGCGATCAATTTCATTCATAATTTCCTTGATGCGTGGGTTTGGGTTCGTCTTGATGAAATGTCGGAAGAGGTCTGTCAAGCCAAGGAGATAACGAAATCGTCTGATGGAATCATCCTCCTATTAATGCAACGAATGAGCCCCTGTGCCCTTTATCTACTGTATGGGTTCTGAGTCAAGACGTACCTTTGATTCTCCAAGAACATCGTGCTTCTTGCCAAAGACACTTCTACGAAGCAAAGTAGCCTCTGATCTTCGCTTTCTGCCGTCGGCGGTTTGGGCATCACCAACGACGCTACTAGCGGTTGTATTGGGGTTTGTGTCGGAGTCTTCGGTATAATCGGGAGTCTCGTCAACCTCCTATGATTAAGTGTTAGTTTAAAACGAGTTGGTGATAGGCGCAAAGGCTTCGAAAACTTTCAGAGGATGAGTCAAAAGAAGAGAGACTTACCATTGGGTCCACAGGAAGTTGTCTGATTTCTGAAGTATCTACCATCGATGTGTCGGTATCGGTATTCGCACCGCTTGCGCGGGAAGAGCGTGGTGCCATCTCGCGATACTCCAACCCTGACGGGGCAGAAGGTTGATGCGCCTTACGCGATTCAGAGAGGACCCTTGACGGTCGCAGAAAATCCGTGGGTCGCGTTGGTAATGGATTTTCAATCTCGAAAAGAGGCGGTAAAAGCGTGGATTGGTCGTCGAATGCGATTTCTGGAGTTTGGACGCGTCGTTCAACTTTCAACTCGAGAAGAGAGCGAGTGAGGCCCAAATTGAGCACAGACCAGCTGAGTTTCTGGTGCCTGACGACTGAGGCCAAAGTATTCACAGTCTTCCCAAACCATCGACTCCAAGTCCACGTAGGGTTGGAATGGGCCCACCTGTACCCACCTGACTTTTTCAAGATTACTCGTCCCGACTTTGGCTGACTGAACCACGCCAAACTAGCCGCCAGCAACTGCAACCACGCAACACTATTTATTTGCTGCTCCTCGAGCGTGCAAACGCTCCACCTTCCAGCACCTGGATTCTATCATATTCCACACATTCATTTGGACCACGTTGAGTGCGTTGACCAGGCCCCCCCTCTCCCTTCTGCAGGTTCCCGAAAGCCGACTCCCGCTGACCCCTCAAAGCAGCCTGTCTTGGGACCGCCGTCTCCGTCTCAACAATGGATTCCATGAGAAGCCTGAATACTTCTCTCCCTCGCACCTCGCCACCAAAACACTCGATGGGTGAGCCTCCGGAGCAACTCTTGTCAGCGTTCAAAGCCGCTGCTCTATCGGTTACCACCCTTTACAAGACTGCCGCCCAAAATCAAAGCAAAGCCAGAGCGGACGGTTATCAGGATGCTTTGGATGAACTGCTAGCATTCCTGGACAAAGAAGATATTGGACTGAGCGACGGCGAAGGTTGGAGGATTCGCCGATGGGCAACAGAACGATTAGATGGGCGAGACTCGGTCTCACACGCTGAAAGTGAAGATGAAAATCCAATGGACAAGGCCGATGGAACCTCATCACCAGTCATCCAGAGATCTCAGAGTGCCACTCGATTGGGTTCCAATCCAAAATCCGCCAGAGCAGGCTCTCCTCAACGAGTCGAAACTGTTCTACCGACTGCCAATATCCCACCGCCGGTTTCAGATCCCACCCCACCACCACAACCTGTTGCTCAACCTCCCATCATGCCCCCACAGAGCTTCTTCTCGTTCCGATCCTCGCATCCATATCCACAAGACACCGACTCGCCAGTTGCAGATCTAGAAATGACAGACAATACACGAACTCTAGGGCACGATAACTCTGTGCAATCAACGAACCCTGGTATTACTATCACCCGCCCACAACGGAACGCTTCACGACACAACACCCACTCGGCACGTACTGGTACGCGAAGTTCTGGCACGATAGGAAAGGGTGCAGGCCAGAAGCGAAAGATCAACATGCACGAATTCTTCGATATCGGAAACGTAACAAAGGACAACTTTGGCGGTGGCGGCAAGAGGGGGAGATTTATATGATTTTCATTCAACTCAACTTTACTTTCGATACCCCATCACCACAGGGATTTTTCCCTGCAGCATTTCTGGAGCATATGATTGCATAGGTGGTATTTTACTTCACGAAACTTTACGACGCATTGCAGGAGCTTTTGGGGGATTTTTTTTCGGGGCGTGTATTTGGGGCATGGTTTAGTGCGTAGGAGGAACTTGCTGCATTCAAGGTAGCATCTTAGATGGATTTAGATCAGGTGTAATTAGCCACCAACTTCGGTTTGTGGTGTATGGATGAGCTGAGGAGTTGATATCATCATATTAGAGATGTCTTTTGAGTGTCCAACTTGAAATGATATTCGATTAATACGTTGTGATCAATCAAAGATTTGTCGGGTTTTTCTTGGGTCGGTGTTATGCGTTTACAATGAACATTTCGATTGTGTAGTAGATTAATACAGCAAGTGCTGGAAAGATCGGTGGTGCATATTCTTGGTTCTTGTAAGCTTTTCTCTGCTTGAATTAGTATGTGTTGTTTGGTTTCTGGATTTACTGGTTGTCTCCATTTGACTCCCGAGTTTCTTGAAAACTATGGTATATATTTATCGTCGATTTCCTACTTTGAGAAGACGTTAGTATCTATCGTAAGAGAGGAAGAGAACGCCCTGCCTCATGATTGGCAGACGACACAATTCTCTTCCTCCTACTTGCTGGGTGATCCCTCAAAGAATTACGACTTTGTGAAAATTCGCAGAAGCAAATCAGTATTCCAGTCATTGTCTTTTGTACGACCTCTCTTCTTGGATCCTTGAAGCATTTCGAGTATTCATTGGAGATGTTGTGATTCCCTAAGACATTGCTGAGGAGGCGAATCATGATAATCATGATAATCGTTACTGCGTCTTCTTGCGCTGCGGCACCCAGACTCGATCATATGCCTCTTGTTTTCATTTCTCACAAAGGATACGAAACAGTGGTACGATATACTTGCAGCAAGTGCCTTTTTTGTTCTCAAGTCAAACTACGATCCCTTCAGCCAACTAGTAGAACTCGAACTCTAGGGTAGCTATTGGTGTGTAGCAGAGTCTAGTGCAAGGTACTTTTCTGTGAAAAATGGGTTATTCCTACGGATTCCGGGGTCCCGCAACGTCCTGCCAGTTACTGAGAGGGCTGTGCATCCTTGGTTGCGCATGTCTTGGACCAGCGCGCATCCTTCGAGTTTCCCCATCTCTACCATGACCTCTTCGTGGCTGAGCAAATTATGTGTCAGTGACATGAAAACCAATCATGATTTTGCTGGCGAGCCTAAGTTTGTTTTTTCCCTTCTGTCAGATCACTCGGTTTTGTTTGAGGAAGTCGCGACTCGAGGGACGATGCCATAAACGCATCAAGACTTAAGCGAGGCAAAAGTAAACACGAGGGAACGTTTCCCATGACGTCTTGCTCATAAGTTCCTTCTCAGACCCAAGGTACCCCCCCGCACATTCACTGCCCATCCAAATTCGGCCTGGTGCGTCGCACGGGCCACCATCATCAAAATCCTCAACAACCTCAACATACATAGTATAATGAGTGTTGAAATCATTACAAAACGATACTACAACACCACCACATCTCCATAATATAAGCGTTATAGAGGGGGTCTTCATATCACCATGATCAACAAGTATACCAAAAATCAGACCCTGCCATCTCCTAACGTTGCTATCAAAAATGGCCTCGAACATTTTTTGGCCCCAAGATCAGCCAAATTGCGACGTGCAACAAAACTTTTGGAGGTCGCTTCTCATTGGGTGCCACCAGTGGCACGGACCACACGCACGGACTACACTCCAAAATGTCGTCCCCCAAGTTTTTGAGGTTGCAATCATATTGTAGAAGAGTTGGGGGTTTTGTGAAGGATTACTTTGTCAACGCACAACCACTCTATAATACTTGAGACTCTTGCAAGGTGTTGGTATTAGTGTGGTCATTACGGTCAAGAAAAAAAATTAGGGGGGTAGCTTTGAAAGTGCGCTGGAAAATTGGGGGATAGGTTTTTCTACACTGCGTTGAGCGATGTTGGGTCCTTTGCAACGAACTTGGGGGTGCGCACGGGCCAACGGGTAGGCCACTCGCTCGAGAGGCATTCACCAGGCTATGCTCTCCTCCACCTTTGTACTCTTGCTTCACTCGTTCTTGTAAATACTTTCAATGCTTGGGCAGTTTCAATGCCGCCACTTGGCTGTAGAAGAATCATGGTCTTGCACAGCTATGAATGTGCAATAAGCATCGATGTTGATTGTGGCTTAAGCGAAGTAGTTGTTGTCTACTATCATGTCTACAAAAGCTCAGCTCTTGTCCTAGAAGATTGGCGAACGAATACAAGAACTTTTCGTCTGTGAACGACTGCTAGAAATGGACAAGTTTTGAGAGAATGGAGATTTTCGATTTGCAAGAGCTAGTCCACAATTTACTACCATGTTCGGCTGTTTATGCATCAGCAATCAAATAACAAGCGGGATATCATTTACCACTACCCGTGCGACCACAATGACGAGGATAGATAAACTTGCGCCCCGCGATGTAGAAAGCGGAGGTCAATATCTCCAACGCGTTGAAGTCATCGTCGGCCAAAGTTCAAACCTCTCCTTCTATCACCAGGTCATTTCTCTTCACGCAGCATCGGGTTATACTTTTCGCTTGGTCGGGGTTTTCATGCCGAGCATTTGTTAGAAATACTTGCTTGCTCGTTCTGTTGTATGTCGGTGGCAATGAAAGGCCAACGTTACTTTGGTAACCCAACAAGTGGCGCGGTTCTGCGCCTGTGATGAGAACAGTTGAAGAGGCGCAAACAAGATTGTCGAAGGTAATTGGAAGATTTAAGGGGTTTGAATGCGCAGGTAAATATAACTACCACGTCGCAATGCTCCTCGATTTGCGGACGCTGGCCCCTTCCAGACATGCATGTGGCAGGGACTTGTTTTACTTCTGTAGCTTAAACTGGTGTGGATTACTTAAATTATCTAAATGTTACAAATATCTGTGTCAATTATCTTAAATTAACCGAATGCCATCGCATCTACAGGTTTGTAGGCCCGTTCGGTATTTACCAGATCTCAATTCTTAAGTTCAAGTCTCGAGATTTGTTTGATACAGTACATCAAGCGATAAGAAAGACAATTTGTGTCTCGGTAACGGAAACCTCAGCATACCTCGTTTCGAAACATCAAAAGACAGATCTCGACCGTGTGGCCTCCGCCTGAACTAGGTCGTTTACTGCTATTATGACTCAATTCTTCATGGTAAACTTGGGCAGCCGACATGCACACCAGACACGACAGAACCATCATCTTTCCTTCAATCACTCTTCATGCTTTTCATTCTTTTCAATCCACTCTTTTCTGCTCCCTTTTAAATAAGATCCGTTGCAACAAAACTTCTTCTAATACTCGCTTAAATACAACCATGCCTAAGTGGAGCTGCCGAAGAGGCGAAGAAGTATCTCAACCTTACCTTCCGAGCTGGATATACACCGAAGTTTTTCTGTTTCTACGACGAACAACAAGTCAAGTAAGAGGGCAAAACCTAGTATGCTACTACTCTGAGCCACAGGTCTTCGTCTTCTAGTGGATTGGGAGCCAATGGTGACAGAGATATGGTTCCTTCAGCCCGCGACTGGACAATAGCCGCTAAACAGTAGGTTCATTTAAGATGCACATTCATTTTTCTAATTGCTGATGACTAAATAGCGAAGCGAGCGAACGGCAGGAGTTCGACAACAAGCACAGCCATGAAGCTTATAGCTCTTCTCTTAGCCAGGAAAGGCACCAAAAACGCGTAGAGAGAACCATATATGATGAACATTCAGCTAGCGAAATTTTCTAAATAATCAAATACCTGGCATCAATCTATGATAATATCTGGGTAGAAAGAGAAAGAGTTGATATTGCCCTTTCGAATAAAGATAGAAAAACCCTAAGTAATTACATATTTAATTATCTAGGTATTAATTAAACACCTGAATAGAGAGTATAATTACAGGTGATATTACGGCTATCTGTATCTTATTTCTTACACTTGCTAATCTATTATGTCACTCTTCATGTAACTAAATAATCATCCAGAAGTCTTACTACTTAAGAAGTTTTACGTAAAGCCGATTTAAATTCGACTGATCGCAGTGCCATGGCTCACTTGTTTCACTGCCTCTTCGTAGCAGATTAAACCGCACAATTTACGCCCGTGCACCCTACTATCACCCTTTCTTTAATCCCTTAAAATGAATCGTAAAAATACGAATCAAACCCAAATTATTCTTTAGCATACCTATGCTCTACGAAGATAGAACTTTGCAGATGCTGCATCAAACACTTCGTTGAGTACCGTCATAACTCGAGACCGAGGCCCAAGGTGGTAAATCTAGGTTTTTGGCCTTGGCCATACCAAACCCCCTTTGAGGCTGCCCTTGCTACTCCTTTTTGAGGGTTTAAGGTAAGTTCAAGTCGGGACTCGGAGTATATTCAAAAATAGGCGTGAAAGTGGATTACAAAGAGACTCAGCCTTGAGTTGGGGCCCTTTGATAGCACTTGCGGCATTGCATCCCACGGATTTCTGGTCTTTGCCGTCTCTCCCCCCCGTCCACCATGGGCCTCCATCTCGAGTTTTGACGGTAATGTAAGGACTTGATTGAGTTTGTAGTGGGACCAAAATGTGCGCTTTAATCTCTCCAGATCTGCCTATGTAGAGAATGCTTACGTAGGCAGGGGGCTGCGCTGCAGGTACCAACTCTCGATACTATAATATACAGCAAGCACCAGCAAAAACCACAACCAAACTACTCCCACTCCCAATCCAATCTGTCCTCTTATTCCATGAATACGCTTTTACTTTGACCCATTATAATCATCTCCTCCATCAGCCCTACGTTAAGAACGATACCGCCAAACATGAGAAGCTTACTCGAGGTCCTGCCTGTTGAAATACACAGGCAAATACTCCTTTATATTACCGATCGATCGTCTGTTCGATCACTTATCCACGCATCGCTACCATTGAGACAGGCTTATCTCACTGAGTGTGCTCGAATGCACCGCGCCATCAACCCGAAAATGCTCAATAGCGCATTATTTGCCCAAGCAGTATTTGAAGTTCGGCCTGACCTGGCGCGCAAAGAACTCCGTAAGATTATTCATGATCAACGACTTCTGAGATCTTACCTGAAGGATCAGTGGTTGGTGCAACTCCAGATATTCACATTCAATGACCTTCATAATCTGTTACGGACTCAAAAGATCATTGACTTTTTGACTTCTGATGTCCGTCTTTGGTTCGAAGATATGAGCAATCCAGCTGAATTACTAGGCCCCTCATTCTCTTCAACCGAGCGTTTCCGTGTTCAACGAGCGTTATACCTGTACACAATTTGGACCCGTCTATTCGGCCCAGAAAGAATCAAGGAAGAAGAAGGTCTTTCGCGTCCCTATTGCCATGGAAATTCTCGGGCTTTTGCCGACTGGACAGAGAAGACCAACATGCTCTTTTCTCTACCACATACGGAGATCAACGAATTCGGATTTGTCGTGGAATATATAAAGGCTCGGTACGCACATTATTTTTCGGAAATTCAAGAGGACCAGGATCACGATGCGGAGGGGAATGAGGATCTGCGAGGCAGCATTTCTGAGACCGGTATTGAAGACTTGACTCCAGGTGGTAAGTCGTGAGAGTTACTCTGCCAACATTTCCTCTCCTTTTACACGACTAGGTCTTCATGATTTCGGATACCGAGCATTGCTCTAGACGATTTGGGAGAATAAGGAAAAGAGCCTTATTCTTCTAAAACTTTTCGAATGATGATCTAGAGGGCAAATTCGCAAAGCATTGCCCATCTGTTTTGCGCAATCTTATTTCACCACAAATTGCTAACTACGTATACCAGGGGGTTATTATAATGATTTCCTCGATACTATGATATCACTTGGGCCAGAATTCCTATATGAAGTTTTACAGACATCAGACCACAAAATCCGTAGGCTTCTCATTACGGAACAACTTAGCTTGCAACCTGATTCAATTCGGCGAAGTCTCCAAATGATGCCAGGTACCTTGATTCGACAGAGAAAATGGTCGCGTATTATTCTCGACTCTGAGACACTGGAAGATGAAAGGGAGATGACAGATTTCTAGCGGTCGAGTGAGAGGAGGTGCGTTGGGATTAAAATGGGACAACCTAGGATAATTGAAGTTTATTTCGAAGATGCAATCTGATGTCTTTGCTTGTTCTATAATTAGGTACGATTGGAAAATACTTCCAAAATGCTCTGTTCAATTCGACCATTGAGTTCTGCGCAGACCGACGAGGCAAGTAAGCCAAGTCCCGACCCAAAGTATTAGTTTCGCTGCACAACACGAGATGCTTTCATTCCCATGGTCCAATTCACAATCATTACATATTCATTGACTGCAACAAATCCCCCGAAGAGCTGCTCGATTGTACCAACGAACAATATTCCCTCACTTCGTTGCCTCAATAGACCAATCACTCACAATTCCCAACTCCTACAGCCGAGGAAAATCAGCTGATCAAAACCCAACCCAACCTTGAAACCCCCACTTCACCCCAAACCCCAAACCCCTGCACAACCCACAATCAATACCCCTCCAAGAGCAACCCCCCTCCACCAAACCCCAAATGCGCCTCCAACCTGCTTCAAGTCTCCAATCCCTCTCGCTACCACGCTTCATCACCCCCAAGCCTCTCCAATTAATCCCCTTGCAAAGAAGAAAGCTCGTGATGACGAGTACATCCTCCAAAGAACCGCGTCGATTCGCTCCTTTCAAAAAAGGCGCGGAGAGAGCGGAGGGAGTGCGGGAGTTGAAGGGCATTGTTTTTGATGTTGATGGTACCTTGTGGTGAGTTTTTTCTCTTGTGTTTATAATTTTTGTTTGTGTTTGGAAGGGTAATGCAGAAATTTGTTGTGGTGGGGTTTTGGTGGGATGAATATTCGTGATCCAATTTTGCTGCATGTACTTCTTCTTTCGGCATGTTGTATAATCTTTGCTTGAAGAAGTTTTTAAGCAGAAGTTTACCTGCAATTCAAGCGGAGTTTCATTTTGGAAGTTAGGACGAATGTCTTTCCTGCTCCTCTCTGCGACTTATGACTGCCTTTTCGAAATCCGCGCAAGTGCTTCTCGAATTCTCGGCTATGCAGTGATGCTTCTTCTTCTAGACATCTTGGGAATGTTGGAATCCTGCCACATTAAGGATTAGAAGAACAAATCATTCGTTTTTAGTAGCGCGCATAGCTTTGGAAAACACTCCACTTCTCAAGCCCCCAAGTCCCAATTCTCTACTTCCCAACCCTCAAAGCATCAAACCTCATTCTTTTCTCTCCCCTCAAAGAAAACCCTCAAAACCCATACGCGAACCATCACAAGATCACCTTTCCATTTCCAAGCTCTCTCACTAACAACCCCCACCACCAGTCTCCAGCAAAACTACATGTTCGCAGAAATGCGCTCCGTCCTCGGAATCACCAAAGGAACCGACATCCTAGACCACTGCCACTCCCTCCCCCAACCGCAACAAGAAGAAGCGCTCGAGGCCGTGCGAGCAGTCGAACGAAAAGCAATGGTTGACCAGAAACCACAACCTGGACTCGTGGAACTAAGTACGTACCGTACTGTCCACAAAACCATCATTCTCGCTTCCAAGCCGGGAACGAAGAAGACATCTAGATAATGCTGACCAAACACCAGTGACCTACCTAACCGCTCTCCCCCTCCCAAAAGCAATCGTAAGTCCTCTCTTTCCTCTCTTTCCTCTTCCCTCTTTCCTTCCACAACCCCATCCTACAACCCCCTTCACACAAAAGCCTCACATAAAAATCTAACAAAAAATCCCCCAGTGCACCCGCAACTTCCCCCTCCCAGTAACCCACCTCCTAACCTCCTTCCTCCCAACCCAACACTTCTCCCCCATCGTAACCCGCGAGTTCCGGCCTCCGAAGCCGCATCCAGCGGGGATCCTACATATAGCTGAGTCACTGGGTATTGCAGCTTCGGATATGATAATGGTTGGGTATGTATCATTCATTCCCTCTCTCCCTTCCCTTCCCAACCTCATACTCTCATATCCTCACGCCACCCAAAAAAAAGGAAACACACCAACTAACCCTCCCCCTTTGCCCTCCCCAGAGACTCAATAGACGACATGACAGCCGGCCATCTCGCCGGGACCGCCACCGTGCTACTAGTGAACCTCGATAACGCCCATCTCGCCACGCACGAACACACCGATTTGTGTATCTCACGGCTCGACGAGCTGATTCCCGTTTTGGAGAATGGGTTCGTGGGGAGGAGTGGATAGGGTGATTTGAAGGGACGGGTGGAGGGTGTTGAGATGCTAAGAAGTGGAGGAGGTAGACTTTTTGCGGGTACGAATTTAGATAGTTGAAGGGGGATTAGATGTGGTTTAGGGGGTGGGGTTAAGATGAGTGTAGATGGGAGTCCTTTGATGAGATGAGATGAGACTGGGTAGAGCATTAAATCCATATTACATGGAGAATTGTCAGACATGTAGAATTTACAAACACATACACAAACATCACCAGCAATACAGCCAGAACGAAAGACGACAAAGAATCGTTTCAAGTCACCTCAAATATTCTACTGTATGTAAAGAGTAACGCCTAAAAAGCAACGCCGCTCGCGTGCCACAACATTTGCAAAGTAGAAGAAAAAAGGCAGAAGAAGAAGGAGCTGCCCCTCCCCATCCAATAGAAGAAGAAAATCTCGACATATGTCAAAAGGTAGGCTGAAACGCCGAGGATATGCATGAATAAGTGTAACAACCATATTCAAAGTGAAAAACCCAAACCCCCGAGAGAGACTCTAGTAATTAGCACCCGAGCCAGCTCCTCCTGCTGGGTATGTGTTTCCATATAAGCCGTTGTTCCCGAACGTTGCCTGTCTTCTGTTTTCCTTTCGACCGCTGTCGTGATCGCCGCCTTCTTTCTTTGGAACTGGTGGTGGTGGTAGAGGGCCAGCGGGAGGTGCAGGTCGCATTGGGAGTGTGGTTGTACTGAATGTAGCAGCATTTGCACTCGAAGGACCGCTTGAACTGCTATCTGGACCATTGATAGTAGTCAATCTTGGTACCGAGTTGGTGGTGGCTACTCGCGCAGGAAGGCCTGGATGAACAGCTGCTCCTGAAGCACGGCCAAGGCTCATGGAACCATTCTTAGTAGGCGATCGACCGTTCTCATGTGGTAAGGCTGCAGCAGAGCGTACGTCTATCTTTCCAATTGGGATATCGCCAGAGGTGGGTGTTGGAAGGGAATAATCGTTTGATGGAGAAGGGCCTTGAGTTGTAGGAGAGTCGCTGGAACGAAGGAGGGCTTGGGTTGAGGGGGATAGTTGAGGCGCAAGATGAGATTTACGGTTGTCCTTTTCCATCATGCCAACTGCCCATTCCTTCAAGTCTACTGGAGTTCGTTTGGCTGCTTGTACGAAGGGTTCACGCTCCTTAAAAATGGTTAGCGAGAAATGATGAGCAGCATCTCAAAGAGGACTTACATATAGCTCTGCAGGGGTTGGTCGATCCTCTGGGGTTTTTGCCATACACTTCTGAATCATATCCTCGAGAATGGATGGGAAGGCGTCGCTCTTTGGAAGTCTTGGTGCTGGCTCATAGACAATCTGCTGAAGAAGGTCAAGAATACCGGCAGGTGCTCCATCTCCATCTGATAGTTGTTCACTGGCATCGAACGGAAATTTACCAATGGCCAACTCCATGATGGACAAACCGAAACTCCAGACATCAGATTTAACCGTGTACTTTTGTCCTTGGATTCTTTCGGGCGCCATGTAGGTAGATGTACCAACGAAGGTGTCTGCGACCGAATTGACCAGCTCTCCTGAAACACCAAAATCGCATAGCTTGATTTGGCCCTTGGAGTTTACTAGAATATTTGAAGGCTTAATGTCTCGGTGCATGATGTGGTGGGTGGTGTAAAGGTAAGTCAGTCCTCCAAGAGTTGCTTCTGCGATCTTACCAAGAACATCGACTCGTACTGGACCGAAATGCCTGGAAATACTATCTAGGGAACTAAGAGATACATTAGCATCCACTTTTACCAAAACAATATGTCGACGTACCCAACATCCATGTACTCCATACACATAATAACGTCGCTATTCTCGCTCAAGAAGGCACCATAGAAATTGACGATGAAGATGGAATTGGTGCTATGCATAATCTGGAGTTCTCGAACGATTCTTTTCCGCATCTCGGTTTTAGCTTCAACGTGGATGACCTAGCAAGTGCGTTCATTAGCTCATGTTTGCATCCGTTGCACGGGAAAGAATCTCTCTGGCATACCTTTCTCGCCATAACCATGTTTGTCGCCAGGTGTCGTACTTTGCTAACCGTTCCTCCATTTCCGTGTCCGAGCTCCTTCATTACCTCGAGATCCTCTCTCTTCAAGTCCAACTTGTATTCGATGCCGATCTCCAAGTCTGTTTTTTCGGCCTCTGCGGGGCGTGGAGGCGGCGGGGTTGGAGCAGCCAGAGACAGACCCTTTTTATTCTTGCGTTTCAGCGTGGTCGGCGCCATAATACCGTTGTTGTCGGCCATCTTGACGATGGGAACCTCGCTCTAGGAAAATTCAAAGGTAGTTGGAATGCGCAGTGCAGGGCGAAGGATCGGTGGTGTTGGCTTTGACGTTTCTGGCGCTGGTTTTGGCGCTGGCACAGGCACAGGCAGGCGCGGGGAGAAAGTGGAATGACCGATTCCGTGGAGGTCAGAAAAAGAAGTTGCAGTATTGCAGGCAATGGTAGACCACACACCCACAGTCGAGATGTGTAGATTGGTCGGAAGAAGGGTGCAGCTAGGTGGAAGGTGGCAGCTGTCGCGGTGCACTGTGAGGGTGGTGGTGGCAGATCAATCAAGTTCAGGAGGAAGAACGTCGCAAACAGTTGCCCCAAGTGAGGATTATTTGGTTTGGTACTGGTAGCTGATTCGCTGAAGCGCCTATGCACACACCACACACCCGATGTGGGGGAGAGACAAAACTGACTTTCCAGGTTAGCACCAGTGCACTACAGGTACCAACCAGGACCAGCACCTAACAGGACCAGTTCCTATGCTGAATTGGGCCAAAGCCGTTTGAACTTTGTGACTTACCGTTGCTGAATGAGTCCTTTTTTGGAGGATGTTGCGGTATAGTACAGTACAGTGCAGTGCAGTACCTAGAGTAGGAGCAGCTGTTATTTTACTTCCTTAAACCAGTCCTCACAACCAGTACCAGTGCCAGTACCAGAACCAGCTCAATGACTGGTGAGGACACTGGACAAAGGTGGACTAAGAGAGGGGCGTCTCAGAACTGACTTGACACACCGTATGAGGTGCCAGCTTCTCGCTTGACCTGCTATCACATCACCTTTGCTTGAGCGTGTAGAATATTGATATTATTACGAAATAAACACTTGTTCCTAATGGAAGTCTGGATGAGTGAAATAACTAATCTATAGCTCGTCAAGAATTATTTCATGGACATCATTCCCTTCTTCCTTGCTGTCGGAGTTTCCTCCTGAAAAATGTAGAACAAACACCTCCATGCTCTTGGGGGTTCCCTTCCATTTCCAAGCACCAGCAAGGTTGCAGGTGCTTAAGCTGCCCATGGTCTCAACCCCACATCACGTGTAAACAAGATAAGCGATATCGGCGGTTAGCCCCCTTTTTATTCCGGTCGGGTCAAAAACGGCCCGTCTCGGCTCAGGTCGCTCAGGACAAGCGTGAACTTGAACTTGTTCACGAATTATCAAAGAAGTCGCGACTGCTGAAGCGGCTTGACAACCCTGCCTATCCATCCCCATCGTCGCATTTGATTTTCAAAGCAGCGGGGCAAGATCTTGGGAGGCATTTTTGTCCACACCCTCATCTTCAATTTTCCTTTGACAATTAAACAACACCGTCGCCCAAGATGAGTATGTCGGACTTGATCCACGGGGAGGCTGAGCTCGACGATGAGGAGAATGACGAGTCTTTCGATGAGGAAAATGGAGATTCGCGATCCAAGCAACCAAAGGCAGCTTTGGACGACTCGAGCGAGGAGGAGGAAGACGACGACGACGAGGAAGCTGCCCGCGCTGTATGTGCCCTTCAATTTCCAACGACTACTGGTTCACGAACTCACAATTCCTTAGGTCCGCGAAGGTTTTATTATTGATGATGAGGACGATGAGATAGAAGATGATTCACGCGCACGCCGCCACAGAAAGGAGAGACACAAGAAACGGAATCGCGAGGCGGAAGAAGCAGATTTGGATGAAGAGGATTTGGATCTTATTGGGGAGGCAAACCCTGAATGGGAGCGCAAGACCACAGCACAGGTATGCAACATGCGCTTGCTCTATTGATGGCAATTTTCAAGCTGATTGTGTGTCTAGCCAAAGTTCAAGCGCCTCAAGCGTGGGCATCGCGATGAGAGTAGCGAACGTCAACAACGAGGGCTACAAGATATATTTTCTGATGACGAGGATGCCGAAGTCGCGAACGATTACGAGAGACCATTTACTGGCCGAGACCACCATCAAAGAGTCGACGAATTTGCTGATTTTATCGAGGAAGATTACCCGGACGAAGATGAAGCATTAAGGCGACAAGAACGAGAAGAGATTGAGGTTGGCGTCACCCGTCCGCGCGAGAAAGGTTATGCTGGAAACGGGGAAGCTTCAGGACTTGACAAAGATGCCTTGGAGGACATGGAAGCAATTTTCGGTAACGGGGAGGACTATGATTGGGCTTTGATGTTGGAGGAGGAGGAAGAGATTAGAGAAGCTGGTGAACACAATCTGGAACTCAAGGACGTTTTCGAACCATCGCAACTTACAGAAAAACTTCTCACGGATGCAGACAACCAAATTCGATGGCAAGATGAGCCAGAGAGATTTCAGGTCGACCGCTTGCCTTTCAAAAATCTGAATATGTCCGACGAGCAGTTCAAGGAGGAGTCCCGTTGGATCACCAGTCTGATTTGGCCAAAGAAACAACTCCCCAATGACTTACAAGGTCCCTTCACTCGCGCGATTGGCAAAGTACTTGAGTTTTTCGTGGTTGATGAAGTAGAAGTTCCGTATGTTTTCCAACATCGCAAGGACTATCTTATCCATGCCACCAGATCCAACCAGAGTCGAAATGACGAACCCGAATATGTTGTTCACGCCGAAAAACTCCTCAACCAAGACGACCTATGGCGGATCCTGGAACTTGACCTGAAGTTTCGAGCCCTGATTGAGAAGCGAAACATACTTCAAAAGACCTATGATGGCTTAAGAAAAGCGACAAACGTGCGAGACCGCATGGTCGAGACTATGCTGCCTATCGCAGTTACCATGGAAGAGCTCCAGGATATCCAAGACTTCGTTTATTTTCAATATTCTGCAGAAATTAAGGACGCTGCTGCCTCCAAGGTCGAGGTTAAAGAAAAGCGTAGGGCTGGTGGAAAGTCATCAATTTTTGAACGCATCCGGAAAAGCCGCTCATACCAGCTCGTTCAGGCTTATGGTATTACACCTGACCAAGTTGCCCAGAACGCTTTAAAGGAGGGCCGGCGACAGTACGTGGAAGACGCGGCAAGCACGCCCGTCAAATTTGCGGATTCATTACTAGAAAGTGGCAATGAGTTTGAAACTGGCGAACAAATCTTGCTGGCAGCACGTCAAATGTTTGCTGAGGAATTGTACATGAACCCACGAATGAGAAAACACTTCCGTATGAACTTTTACATGTACGGTGTCGTCAACTGTCGTAGGACCGACAAGGGATTGCGCAAGATTGATGACCAACACCCATACTATGAGCTCAAGTATTTACGGAACCAGACCTTTGGGGATATAGCAAAGAACCCCGAAACCTTTCTGAAGATGCTCAAAGCCGAAGAAGAAGGACTTCTCGAGGTCAAGGTCGTTCTGGATACTGAAAAAGACTTCCGTCGAAAACTTCTTCAAGAGTTTCAGTCTGAAAATTACAGCGAGCTTGCAGATGCTTGGAACGATGAGCGCAAGTTGGTCATGGATATTGCATTCGAAAAACTACAACGGGTCATTACGAAGGGTGTCAAAGAGAGCATGCGAACTGAATGCCAGGATTCTATACTCAAGCTCTGTCGAGAGGAGTACTCGAAAAAGCTAGACCAAGCTCCCTATAAGCCAAAGGGAATGATTCTGGGCACAATCCCCAGAGTACTTGCTTTATCGAATGGAAATGGCGATCCACAACGAGATGCCGTGTGCTGGGCATGGGTCGAAGAAGATGGTCGTGTGCTCGAACATGGCAAGTTCAATAACTTGTCTCGCGATGAAAAGGCGAGAGATGCATTTGTCGAGCTTGTTCAACGTAGAAATCCAGATGTTTTGGGAATCAGTGGCTTTTCAGTCGAAACACATAGGCTTCTCCAGACTCTAAAAGACTTGGTTGCGGACAAGAATTTGAGAGGCCCTGAGTTTGAAGATCAAGACACCGGCGAGGACAGAAGAGAGCCTTTAGAAGTGGTTGTGGTCAACGATGAAGTTGCACGATTATACAAAGACAGCAATCGGGGAAAGCTTGATCATCCGGCGCTCCCTCCGCTCGCACGTTACTGTGTTGCACTAGCGAAGTACCTCCAGAACCCTATGAAGGAATATGCTGCGTTGGGAAAGGACATTATCTCTTTGCAGTTCCATCCTTCCCAGCAACTTCTACCCGAGGATAAGCTACGCAAGCAACTCGAAACTGCCATGGTGGATATGGTCAATCTTTGTGGAGTCGACATCAACGAGGCCATCAGCGATCCTTACACGGCCATGTTACTTCCCTACGTTTGTGGACTTGGCCCAAGAAAGGCAACATCCGTTCTCAGGACCATCAATATCAATGGAGGAATTGTCAATTCTCGTGATGAACTTGTTGGGGATCCTGACAGCAACAAGTTGCCGGTTGTTGGCCCACGGGTATGGAACAATTGCGCCAGTTTTCTGTCTATTGAGTACGATAGCTCAAGTACTATGTCTGATTACCTTGACAATACTCGAGTGCACCCGGAAGATTACGAGCTGGGACGGAAGATGGCCGCTGATGCACTGGAGCTTGACGAAGAGGATGTTAAGGCTGAGGTCGACGAGAACGGACCAGGAGCTATCATTCGCAAACTTATCAAGGATGATGAACAAGAAAAGGTCAATGATCTCATTCTAGAAGAGTATGCCGAGCAACTTGAGCGTAACTATAACCAGCGAAAGCGTGCGACACTAGAGACCATCCGTGCCGAGTTGCAACAGCCATACGAGGAGCTCAGACGAAACTTTGAGATTCTTTCCGACGATGACATTTTCACTATGCTGTGCGGAGAAACCCAGGAATCACTTGACAAAGGAATGATCGTTTCTGTCAACATTCGAATGGTCAAAGAGGACTTCCTTGTTGCCAAACTCGATTGTGGTCTTGAAGGCCGATGCGATATCTCAGACGGTTCTGATCGAGAAGTCACACTTAATCGCATTTTTTCGACAGGTCAGGTAGCTCAGGCCAAAGTTTTGGAGGTTGACCGACGAAGTTTCACTGCTAAGATCTCCCTTCGGGATAGTGTAGTTAAAACGCCATACCGGAGGCGTCTTGACCACGATCCAAGCGAATGGGATTACGCACAGGAACAGAAGGACCGAGAGGAGCTTCGCGAGAAGGACAAGTCTACAGGGCGCACCCAACGTGTTGTCAACCATCCGCTTTTCCGACCTTTCAACTCAACTCAGGCGGAGGAGTATTTGGGATCTCAAGCACCTGGCGATGCAGTTATTAGACCTTCTTCTAAAGGTAATGACCATCTCGCTGTCACATGGAAAGTGGCGGATGGCGTGTATCAACATATTGATGTCCTTGAACTGGAAAAGGAAAATGAGTTTTCAGTGGGTCGGAAGCTTCGCATTGGAGCTGGGACCAAGTACAATTACAGTGATCTTGACGAACTGATTGTGGATCATGTTAAAGCTATGGCCAAGAAGGTGGATGAGATCACGCAGCATGAGAAGTTCCAAGCTGGCAGCAAAGCTGACACAGGTATGTCAAAGTATCTTCTGTTCTTGCATGTTATCATTGCTAATAATCTACGTAGAAGCATGGTTGAAGGCGTACACGCAGGCCAATCCCCGGAGATCTGTGTATGCTTTTTGCATCGATGCTAAGCATCCTGGCTACTTTGTCCTCTGCTTCATGACTGGGGGGTCCAATAAAAACGTCAACGCGTGGCCTGTCAGAGTGGTTCCCAATGCTTTCGAGTTGATGAAGGCGCCTTATCCCGATATGAGAGCGTTGTGCAACGGCTTCAAAATGCGGGTTGCAAGCGAGTCCCAACGACGAAATTAAAGTATGCATGCTGCTGGTGTTGGTGCTGGATAGAAGGAGTTTACTTTCATATGCGGTGGTGGTTTCATGCGCATCTTGTAACAAAATAGTGAAATACCAAAATTTGCTTTGGGGGAGGGGTATGGGGGGTTTTGCATCGAGGGCCGAGAGGACGTTTGTAGATGAGTGGTTACGACCATAGGTAGCCTTTCAGAAAACAGCCAAATTGATGAGGATATCTAATCAATCTCGCACTTTCATTTGTATCACAGAAAATGACAAATGTACTGTAAATGTGAAGGATAAAAGCATATGTAGAATACCGACTGCTGAAAGAACAGCGAGGGCACTATACCCTATACTATGCGCTGCGGCGTCGTACTGTAATGTGGATGCTTACAGGACAACCCAGTCAGAAACTCTTTAGGGCGCAAGGCGAGGCTGAGGAAACGCGTGCTCGGTTGATGATGGACCAGGGTGTTGCGGGAGGGAATGGGAGTTGACACCAAGTAATCCACCCAATTGCCAAACTAATCCACAGCGACCACGACCCATGAGCTGAGCCTCTTTGCTGACTTCCACTTCAATTGCCAGCTCACCCTCTCCATATCCACTGCACGCTCCTCAAGAAGTAGTCGTGTCTGTCAGGATTCTACAACTTGTCCTGTTGTGTCCTGTCCCGCACATTCACAGCCTAGATCGGATTGTAGCAATCGCATCCTCAGCCCACCAAATCGGATTTCACCCTGAGCTGACACTGACACTGACAGCAACACTTGCTAACAACACCATTGCAAGACAGCCTAGGCTACAACAGACCAGAACATTCAAACCAGAACATTCACACGAGATCCAAAAAGAGTTAGCCATTTGCTGCCAGCCAGCCATAGCAGTTGATCTAGTTGGACAGCCACCACCATCACCAACCTGAAACATCCTAGACTCCCTTCTAGTCCGACGCCAACTGTTGTGTTTACGACCTCTCCCAAGATTAGAATTCTCGACTGATACAAAGTACGAGAGTGGCTTGGTTGGTCTGCGAATGCCATAGCGCTTGTTTATACTCTGCCATAGCTGGGGTTGACGGTGCAATGGCTGGACTGGAGCAGTTGGAGATCCACAGCAAGGTATGTTGTTCTAGAAAGGGATACAGTGGAACCAGATCACCATCTAATGGATCTAGTCCTACATCGTTCGCTGGGTGAAAGTAGAAGAAGCGCATACCATTTCATGGAGTGTTCAACCGCACAAAAAGTCAATGTATGCTTCAGATTGAAATCCAGTTACGCCTACGTCATTAACATTTCTGTAGAAATTTTGGAATCTTTAAACATCCTCGAACTGGCAGTGTAGCTACACCTGGAGGAGGAACTCAATTTCCAGCCTTGGACGATGCTTCTGCAAGTCTTCAGCAACACGAGGTGGGGGATAGAAGTAGGCGAACGACGGACAACAAAAACGAAAACGATTCTACAGCGAGAGAGCAATTGAGTGCCAAAGGTTTCATACAAATTCAGTGGTTTGGAAAATGTGAGGCCGACAAAGTTTCTATGGGGACCTATACGGTTCCCGCAGGATTAGGGGGAATGTACGGACTGATTTTCGACAACACCTTTTCCAAGGCTGTATCCAAAACTGCAACCTTCGTTCTGCTCACATATCCCGCCAATGCCCCTCCACATGCAACACATCACATGCAAAGCCTTGCGGCAGCTAAACATAGCCCCAAATTGACTGCAGCGGCTTCCGAATCAGTCGACAGTTTACAAAGTCACCTGGCCCTTGGAAATAGTACAAGCAGAGGAACTTCAGTTGCGGGTCGGAATGACGACAGTCAGATGCCAACATATCACACTGGAATTCTGCAGAAGCGGCGAAGAAAGAGAGGCCAGGGTTATGCCAGCAGGTTCTTCTCTTTGGATTTCGCTTCTTGCACGTTGTCGTATTACTACAGCCGAAATTCCTCAGCGCTGAGAGGAGCGATACCTCTTAGTCTTGCGGCAATCGCGGCTGACGAGAGACGCCGTGAAATAAGCATCGATTCTGGCGCTGAGGTATGGCATCTGAGAGCCGGGAATGCAAAGGACTTTGGTGATTGGACTAGCGCTCTTGAAAGAGCCAGCAACGCTGCTCGAGGAGGTACTGAGACTAGAGATTCATCTGATCCTTCTCCTCCTGCTGAACTACTTCGAGTCAGGACAACCGGACTGCAGAATCACCCCAACAGTGTCGAAGAAGAACGAGAATGGGCGCAGGTTGAAGCGTTAGTCAGTAGAATTGTTGGGACTCGCGATGCTGTACGAAGATTGTCGAAGAATACTGCTGCTATTCCTACTTCACGAAGGGCCTCAATTTTGAATGGGATCACGGGCGGTACAAGCCCGAGTACTAATCCAGAGGAAGCCGGCGACTACTTTTCAGGCGTTGCTGCACCTGTCCCCGAGAAGAGGCCTTTTTGGAAACGCAAGTCTAGCGCACCTGCCACACCACAAATGCTTCAACGTGGTTTGGGTTCTCAGCTTGCAGTTCCCACCCCCGCAACTGTAACGAATGTTAATGCCAATGGATCTGTAACACCATCAGCGCGCAAACGCCATTCCCATGAGGAGGCCAGCATACATGATCATTGTGCTGCACTGCAACGCGATCTCGACAATGTCCTGCAAGACTTCAATACACTGATTACGAGCAGCAAGAGACGCCGACAAAATGCACCTCGGTCTGCAGTTAGAGTCAGCATGGACTCGACATCTACTGAGGAGTTTTTTGACGCCGAACCTGGTGATTTGGATCATTCCCAGGTCGTGATGATTGATCGTAGAAGTGATGAAGACACGCAACCATCCGAAGTAGAGGACGAGTTTCAAACTGATGCATCGTCCATGTCTTCAGCAGGTGACGATTCCAAAACTGCTCACTTGACAGGTGCCGCTGCCTTGTTTCCTACCAAACCAAAGTCTCTAGATCCGCTTCCAGTGCCTGTACTTGTCAAACGTCGAAAGGTGATTCCAGCAGCAACTCAGCTGCCTCCCAGTCTCATCGGATTCCTTCGCAAAAACGTGGGAAAAGACTTTAGCACGATCAGTATGCCTGTCACTGCCAATGAGCCGGTTTCGATACTTCAACGTGTAGCAGAGCAATTAGAATATGCACAGATTCTAGATACAGCTTCATCTCACAAAAACCCCGCACTTCGTCTTCTACATATAGCAGCGTTTGCTATAGCACAATTCAGCTCAAGCCGTGCTAAAGAGCGAGCTATGCGAAAGCCCTTCAATCCTCTCTTGGGCGAAACCTTTGAGTTGATTAGGACTGAGAAGGAAGTTCCCGGTGGATTTCGCTTCATCGTAGAGAAGGTCTGCCATCGTCCAGTCCGAATGGCATGCCAAGCCGATTCTGCAAACTGGTCTTTCAGCCAGAGTCCCGCCCCGGTACAGAACTTCTGGGGGAAGAGTGCTGAGCTCATCACTGAAGGTCGTGTTAGAATTGCTCTCCGATTACCAGATGGTACTGAGGAACTCTACAGCTGGGTAACGGCCCCTCAATTCCTGCGAAATGTTGTGATGGGCGAGAAGTACGTGGAGCCTGTTGGTACTATGGTCGTCATCAATGAATCTACAGGCGCCAAAGCGAATGTTGAGTTCAAACAGAAGGGTATGTTCGGTGGAAGGAGCGAGGATGTACAGGTCGATAGCTTCGGTCCTGATGGGGCACCGACCGGTCTTGGACTCATAGGCAACTGGACGACGAATCTCAAAATGCTTGAGAATGGCAAAACAGGTGGCGAGGTTTGGCGCGTGGGAGAGTTGGTCGATAACGCAACACAGCGGTATGGACTTACCACTTTCGCAGCTAGTCTCAATGAGATCACGGAGCTGGAAGAGGGGAAATTGCCGCCTACTGATGGTAGATTGAGACCCGATCAGAGAGCACTAGAGAAGGGCGATCTGGATACGGCGGAGGAGTTGAAAGCTAAGCTGGAGGAGAATCAGAGGGTGAGACGGAAGGAGATGGAGGGGAGGGGAGAGGCGCATGTTCCTAGGTGGTTTGTGAAGGTAGAGGGCGGGGATGAAGGCGAGGAGGTGTGGAAGTTGAAGGGAGGAAAGGATGGGTATTGGGAGGAACGGGCCAAGGGGAGCTGGACGGGGGTGGAGAATATACTTGCTGTTTGATGTTCTTGAGTGATGTTTTTTTTCCGAAGGGGATTGTGAAGGAGCGAGCGAGCGATCATACCAGGCTTGTTGATGGGAGACGATTGCCTTGTACGGTTTCTTTGACTTTTTTCTCTAGTTTGTGCGAGGCCGGGGGGGAATGGCGTTTTTTATGATGTGGGGGGTGGATGGATGGAAGGGGTGGGGCGTATAGTAGTACAGTACAGTACAGTAAGGGGGGCAATTACCTAGGTTATAGAAAAAGACTGATGGGTTGGTTCTCTTTTTTTTCCCAATTCTCCTTTCTCCTCGTTCACACTGTGTGAGCGACCTTTCTTTAAACAACCACCTGCACCATCTCTCAAATAAATCAAACGGAATACCATATCCGGCCAGCCAAAACATGTTCTTGGTGCGATCAACTGGTATCAATCTTCCGTCTCCTCTAAAGACTAACTTACTGTTGTGCTGGGTCTACTTTCTCTTTTGCTCCACTTCCTTATTTGATCCACTTATAGTTCTGCTGCCTAAATGCTTCATGTCTGCCTAAACCTTACACTCTTTATATAAACACCTTAGATAGCTACCTTTTACAATGCAATCAATTCTCCATGACCTTCAGTACCCAATACCCTTTCAACCCAATACTTACGTATCTTGCGCGATAGTAGAATTGAGACTGGAGAGATTCTTCGTACTCTTACTCTGCGATGACGACTTTGAGGTCTGGTCTTTGAACGGCGGGGAGGAAATATGTTCATGGGACTTTTATAATTTTTTGTCTTTCGAAAATCTCTCTTTTGAGAGCTCTACGTACACCAAGTCGTGTCCGCATGGTTCCCACTCTAGGACAATGAGAGCCACTTAAGATATGCAAGTTTCTCTGTGGATCTTCCTTCAATTGACAGCTCCCAAAGCTCGTCAACTGATTTTGTGTCAGGAAATCCGCCGACCATGCCGACGACGGCAGTACAATGAGAAGAATGGCGTGCCAAAAGATTGGATTTATTTGGAAGACCATTGGCTGCTGTCTGGTTGGAATTGAGTTAGTTGTTATTTTGGTGCTTCTTAAATATTTGTTTTATCTCCTTGTTGTTGTGCTGTGTAGTGCTAAACGAGAGCCTTTTCAGGGGAGGAAATACGGCTGATCTTTCCGTCCCTTTGGAGGACGTTGCTATCTGGAAGAGACAAAAATCGTTGAGGCATCATATACATGCGGCTCCTTTGGAGACGTGCGAGCGGTTACTTGAATGGATTGGGTGTAATATCTAGATTTGGTGTTGGTGCCATGTTGGTCTCATTCTCACTCACTACTTTACCTGCGTGGAGCCAACACTCACAATCAGCACTCGAGAATCACTTCAAAATTTCATCTACCTCAAAATTCAAATCAGCATCTGTGTCAACATCAATATGGCTGCCCCCTACGAACTCATCTATTACACAGGCGTTCCAGGCCGGGGTGAACATATCCGGCTCATCCTCGAAGAAGCCGGTATCCCATACAAAGATACACAATTCCTCTCTGTCGAAGAAGCAAAGAAGAGCGTCATGACTTCACTCAATAGCAGCCATGAAAACCCATCTTATTTCGCCCCGCCTCTCTTCAAGCACGGCGATCTCGTAATCTCTCAGACGCCCAATATTCTCCTGTACCTTGGTCCGAAACTAGGACTTGCGGGATCTCAAGAGAACGACGTGTACAGAGTGAATGCCCTGGCACTCACTGCGCTCGACCTTCTTAGCAATGAAGTTCACGATACACATCATCCTATTGGCACCATGCTAGCTTGGGAGGACCAGATGGAGGAGAGTAAGAGACGGAGCAAGGAATGGGTGCAGAAACACCTCCCTACCGTCTTTGCGTACTGGCAAAGGGCCTTGAAAAATGAGAAACGTGGACCGGGCCCGTGGCTTTTGGGGGATACCTTCACGTATGCTGATTTGGTCTTGTTCCAGGTGCGTTCCCTCTCTTCTGGCGATGGCCCTTTTTTGAATCCCTCCGAGCATAGTTTATAAATGATGCATTTTTTGACCTGACTGACAAATATCTATAGTGCCTCGATGGCGCCCATTATGCTTTCCCCAAGGCGATGAAGCAAGCTAGAGAGACTGGTAAATACGATAAGGTATTCAAGTTATATGAAGATGTTAAGGCTCGCCCGAACGTTGCAGGGTACCTTGTCAGCGAGAGAAGACAGAAGTATCAGGACTGGGGCATCTACCGGCATTATGATGATAATGATGCGGTTGCTGAGTAGCCTCTTTTGGTGTCAAGCACGCCTGTTTCGGTAACAAAATGGAGTACTGGTTCATGGAGGAGGAATTTCGGAGGGGATATTATGTTGTATTAATTGCTCATCAATCCATACAAGAACTCCTCAAAAGACCAGTGTCGAATTTTGAATTGATTTTTAGCAATTATTTAGTACTTGACTTATATCGCTATAAGCTTCATTATTGTTGAATCATTTGATAGTAGTTTAGTCGTTTACTGTAACAAAACCTTACTTCTTTTGCCTTACTGTACGTTTTCTTTTTTTTTTTATTCTCTTTTTTTCCTAGTACTCGTAAGTGATCAAAGCTAACTCCTTTCTAGGCTACAGGTATTCATTGGTGGCTTAGTTTCCCAGGTGAAGTCTTTTGGGTTCTTCTTAGAGAGATAATTGTACGTATCTATTAGACTGCTTTCCCTGAATTTAAGGTAGAATATGGTTTAGCCGTATTTACTGAGATTATTAAAGAAGAGTAGTTATACATATGTAGTTGAGATTGCTGGGTTGCGTATATATACGTAGCAAGATATATAGAAACAGAAGCCATATGTTTATATCAATATCAATTAAGCGAGAGAAGATCTAAGAATGATACTATATAAAAGTGCATGGCTAGACAATGGGTTATTCTTTTGATTACTTATGATACTTACTATCCTAAGAAATTTGCTCCTATTCCCAACATCCCAATCCCCCAACTTCAAACAATACTTATTCACTAAGATATCAAACTGATTTCCAACACCACCACCATCTAAACCCCCCATTTATTCTTAACCCCTTTATAACATATACTAAAAACTGCCTATAATCTTGCCGCTCTAGTCTAAGAAACGTGATCGTTACTCTATACACATATCTCTTAGAATAATATTATCCTACAAGCCTTACACAACTAAAATATACCTACAATGGTTCAAGTAATTGTTCTTTGTTAGTTCTTGGAACCCTAGGTTTTTTTAAGATCATTATTTTGCTTGTACTAGAGGTTTTGTGTAGTTAATTTTGACTTAGTGTGTATAGAGTAATAACCCGGTGTCTTATATACATTGTGGATACATAACGATGTCTATCTACTTCGTAGGTATCTTCTAATGTTTGAGGTATCTTCTAATGTTTGATCTTATCGTTATTGTCAGGGCAAAGATGGTACGAAAAGTAAAAGAATTAGACGACAGGCAAAAGAGGAGACGGTTGAAAGATTTGAGTAATACAGATGTGTGAGAATACAAGGAGGTTGGTGATTGACAAAGTTATAGTGAGCACAGCTTGAAGCTAGTGACCTCGCTTAAGCCGCAGTTGTTATAGATTCAGGACCTACGATACGGGTATTAGTCTGTCCACCCTAGATATTAAAGCATAATATTTTGAGTGAACAGAGCCTTAGCACATGTGACACAGTAAAAGAAGTAAAATAAGTACCCATGAATAATCGTGATCAATCTGCTGATTTTCGATTCAGGCCTTCCTCTTTCGTTGATGTGCCTTGACCCCACACTTCGGCATCTAATTTTCCGAAACCGTAATATAGCCAAACTAGAGACCCCGCTATGGAATTAAAAATGTGGCAGAAGTTCAAAGTCTTCGAATTGTAAAGCTTTCGAAGGGATTCCAGAAGGACACGTGGATAGAAGATACCCCTCCTTCTCTTACCATATTGGTGGCTCGGAGGGCAACGATATATTGTGGTAAGAGTCTAAGTTACACAATGTCACGATCTACGCTACGCGCTGAAAATAAAAAACGAAACTCGAAGGACAATGAGAGGAGGACAATTTATGGACATTAATATATATATCTATATGGAGAAATAGAAAAGGATGATCAAACGTGTAGTTCGTTCGTCAATATTGGAATTTGTCCGGATTAACTTGCTTATAGCCGCTGCAGGACATGGAAATGCAGTATTAATATCCGGCCCCCCCACACTCAGTTGACACTTCATTTCTCCCATTTGGATGTTGCCATAAAATACAAAATTTAATTCAATCGAAAATTCCTACAGTACAATGAAATTCTCACCATTTCTCCTCCTCGGTTTCCTGTCCTTAGGGCATGCTTTGCCGGCAGCAACAAAACCCGCAGCTTTCTTCTTAGCTGGTGATTCAACAACAGCAGTTGAAGGTGGATGGGGAGATGGATTCCTAAAACTTCTGGCAAATGGCGCGAAAGGTACAAATTTTGCCAAAAGTGGAAGGACGACTGTGAGCTTCGTCTCTGGGGGATTTTGGGACCAGGTTATTGCTGCCGTGAAGGCAAATACGGCATCCTTCACACCACGTGTGACGATCCAGGTAGGTTTCAAAATTCGAGACTTTAATGAGAAAAGCTAAATCAAAACCAGTTTGGACACAACGATCAAAAGACAACTGCCAATATCAGCATCGACCAATTCAAAGCAAATCTCAAGAAGATGGTAGAACAAGTAAGAAGCGCAGGAGGAATCCCTATCCTCGTAACCTCTCTTACTCGTCGAACTTTCGAAAAGTCGACCGGCAAAGTTAAAGAGGATCTAGCACCACAAGCTAAAGCGACATTGGAAGTTGCGAGCGAAACCAATGCTCAATTCATCGACCTGAACAAGGCTTCCACTGCATATATCAATGCCATTGGTCAGAGTAATGCGGATCTGTATAATCTGGATAATTTGCCTGGAGGGGATCGAACTCATTTGAATCCCTCTGGGGAGAAGCTGTTTGGGACCATGGTTGCGGAGCTGATTGGACAGAGTCCGGTGTTGGAATTAGGTGCTCAGACGAAGGGGTTTCTGGCTCCTAATGCGACCATCATTGCCGCTATTGATGCTGGAAAATTCATTTTACCATGAGTGTTGGTTGAATAAGAGATTTGAAAGTAATAATAATATAATCCTTTATAAACATGATCGATTGTAATTCTCCCGTGAAGACCAAACACCTTCTATTAGAAGGATTTAAGGGCATATTTGGCTACGCGAATTTAGAGATTTACACTATACAAAAAGATTTATATACATTAGCATATACGGTTTGTATACAAATTATAATATGCGCGTTTGCTTAGATAGGATTAGTTATTTTCGACTAAATTAGCTATAAATCCGCTATACATCTAATTCTGAATCTTTCTAGATTTATACTATTAAGATAAGAATAAAAAAGAGTTAAAGCCTTAACGCTTTAGCTCTTTTTCTTTTACGTAAATCAACGTATAAATCGATCTTCTCTGCGTAAATCTATAGACATATAACAAAAATTCTATACTAGCTAAATACTAGCTAAACAGTAGTACATGTAAGTATAAATTACATATAAATCTGAAAGATTTACATCAGCCTTCGGGAGTCCCTAGTAATCTATGAAAGTCTATGATTTGTACCTAGTTTACATTTGCGTAGCTAAAAATACCCTCAGTACAACACAACAACCAGCTAATCATACATAGGGACCGGGAAAAACCATTCATATATGTTTGAAAGTTTAGCCTTTGTTTTACATTTTTGTTGAAGTTTGTTTCATGTATTATATAGAAATATATTCGTAAACGTATTCTTAAATGTTCATCTATCTTTTGCAGAAGCAGAACTATGAGTCCGGGCCTATGAATAGTAAAATATAACCCTTCCCAGGTGACTTAAGGTCCCGTTCCCCTTCCCCCCTCTACGTTAGTAATCCCTTCGCTTCTATAGACTGGGTACGTACACGGAAAGTGATATTAAAGGAGACATTGAAAAACTCACGAGTTAGAAATTTCTATGTATTGTTTGGGTTTAATGCGTTCATGAATATCGCGCGTTCAGTGTTTTTTACCGATCCCTAATCATGTGATCTCGGACAGGTTTGTTATAGCCGACGCCAGAGAGGATAGCGCAATAGAGCTTGATAAAATTGTAGTCAATTCTATCTGGGGCGATTCTTCGCGAGAACAGTATACAGCACGTAGATTTTGCACCAATCTACCTAATGTTCCTGCCTCGAGTCTCGACGATTCCTCGTGGCCACGTGACATTGTACTCGGTCTTTCTGACGTCGGAACACTAAATCAAGACTCTGTATCGAAAGTTTGAGCTTAGCATACCCTGCGTGTACCTGTCACTTGGCTTTTTTCATGTTGAAGCTATTTATATTACCTATGTCACCTCTTTACGAGTAAACACGCAAAGCCACCTAGGTAAGGAGTTTTGCGTGATCGTAAGCGTAAGGCAATTTAAGTAGTTCCAGGGTGCTCCTGTCTAGTTGACAAGTAGCATGACTAAAACTCTGATACCGGCTATTGGTTATACTGTATTAGTACGCATTTTCCCTCCCGCTGAAATCCTCTCAGATTGCCGAATCTAGAGCGACTACTATTTCTTCAATCCACGGCCAAAAATTCATCCAGTCGGCATGTGACTTGTCGTTTTTATGTTAGGCATTTTTGCCGCGAGTTCCACTGGACATGATCGTAGAGACGTTGATGGAAAGTTGTACTGCGATTATGGAACTGAAGGAAATGGTGACTGCGAAGCAAATGGACTAGGAACTTTCTGCGTAAGTACTAGTAATAATTACTTATAAACTAGACACACACTCATTCTTCTTTAGTGCAAACTCGATTACGAATATCCGGAATACGTTATTAAACGAGCTACTACTGTTGTCTCCAAGAACCTCAGAGGAACATCGAATTGTACAGCGCCCCAAGGCAAAGTGAAAGACGAAGGACTCATTCTTTGTGCACCTAATAATTAGGGGCTTGTTGGTGTTTTGTTGTATTGTGGAATCGCATGAGGGGGGGGCGGGGTCTCAATTTTTTGGAACAATTAGAACAGCTCTAAATGATTGAAATTAATCATGACAAGAAGATTGCCATAATATAAGCTACCGCTGATTCTGTCCACTGCGACGTCACTCGATCAAGGGAAGCGCGTTAGGGATAAACATATTATGGTGATATGGAGTGCAACTCCAAATCCGTACCGAATTTCGAAACCACATTTACCAACAACAATACCAACCCAGAAAATTCAATATCAACACAACAAGGAACAATGTTATCTTCATGAGGTAACCGCCTCTCATACCCACGAGTGGTAAAGCCTTGTCTACTGCACCAGCCTCCATTTCCACTCGCAATGCCTCAAACTCTTCCGAGAGTGTGATGTTGTATGGATGACCGGAACCCAGTGTCTTCTCGAGTCGCACAATGACTTCTTCATAGATGGTCAGAGCATCTACAAAGCGTCTTTGAGATTTCAAAATCCTTGCTAGATTAGCCGTACTTTTCAATGTGAATGAGTGAGATGGTCCAAGCAGCCGCTTGTTAATCTCAACCAATCTCTCCATACTCTCCTCGGCAAGCTTCAATCGTCCTTGATCCAGATACAAAAGTGCCAAATTATTGGCACACAGAAGTGTATCTGGATGTTCTTTCCCCAAATCTCTCCTCTGTACTACCAAAGTCTTCGCCATGTATTCTTCAGCACAATCAAATTGTCCAAGATCTTGAAATATGGACCCCACATTGATTGCTGCTATGAGAGTTGCGGGGTGTTCGTCCCCAAGCTTCTTCCGGCGTCCTATTAAGGATCGCTGCTGATATATCATTGCCTCTGCATGCTTACCCTGTGCCCGAAGAATTTGTGCTAATGTATCGAGACAGTTGAAAGTATTCTGCCGACTCTTCCCTAGACTATCTTGGCCTTCAACTGCTCCGCGAGCAATCTTTTCTGCGACCATAAATTCTCCTTTTCGATACAAAATCCAGGCAAGATCTGCCATAGTCCGCAAGGTCCCTTGGTGTCTCGGACCAAGAACGGATTGCTTGCCTTTCAAAGTTCTTCGGCACATGTCCTCAGCCAACTCAAATCTTTCTTGGAGGTCGTAGAGGTTTGCAAGATGGTTCATGACTTGCAAGGTTGAGGCGTCCTGTAGACCCGAATTGGCCTGCCGAGAGCTGAGCAACCTCTTCCTCACAAATTCCCCTTCCTTGTATCTCCCGCATCGGACCAGGAAGGAGCCAATCCAATCATCGACATTATCCAGTTCTATGTTGTCTGAGTATCTGGCTGTGTTTTGGAGATATTCGTTTATATGCGTAAAAAGAGCGTATTGCTTAGGTTTGTTAATTTTGAAGGTCCTCTGATGGTAATTATCGACGAGATAACCCATGATTATCTTGCCTGATAGAATCGAATAGTACTGCGTTTCCAGCTCGCTTACGCGAAGTCGAATCCAGTCTCTCGCCAACGAGTGAAGCGAGAATTGCCGAATTCCATCTTCCTGAGTCCGGAATTGAACTAGCGAGCTTTGCATGGCTTTATCCAGCATCCGACCCAATGAACCGCTGTCCCACTGCATCTGACAGCGGGAATTTTGTTCACGTTGATTGGGATCCGCTCTTCTCATTTCACCAAGGCAAGGCAATAGACATTGCGCAGGCCAAGAATATCCCTCGGAAACTTGAGCTTGCTTGCAATAACTCACAAACAAATCTTCAGAAATGTTCCCGAGGTGGAAGAATGCAAACAAAATGAGAAGATGGGCTTTCTCCCTGCCGTCCTTCATAGATTCCATAAAAGAGCACAATGAAAGCTCCGATGTAGTGAATACATTGATGTATGTCTCCTTTTCTGCCTCGCTGTGGTTTTCTTTCCCGTAATGAGGAGGTAGTGGTGTATCATGAAGTAAGTTCTCTCGCTTACTACCATAGTGGTCCATGAAGTCTCCAATTCGGATGTTTTGCTGCTTGACATACGAGCCTGCCTGAGTGATAGCAAGGGGATGGGAAGAAAGTGTGTGGACTACGCGTTTCGCTTCGGCAATTTCATCAACATCGAAGTTTCTCTTGCCAGCATGCGATGCTCTCCAAAATAAATCCAGAGCGTCGTCGTCGGCTAGACCCTCAATAAGAATCTTGGAAACAGCATCGTGAGGCAAAGCTTCCGATGATGGGTGCCTGCTCGTGACGATTATCTGTCTGCCATTGCATTCTGGCAGAAATTCTCGGACATTATTGAAACCAGTAAGATCATCGTAATTATCGAAAACCATAAGCCATGGAGCCTGCCAACCTCTCAACTTCTCAACAACATAATGGACCATTTCACTATCAGTCACAAACTCTCCATTTCTGACGAGCTTTTCCGCAATGTTTTGAAAGCTCGTTCTGACAGTAACTTCCGACGTTGCATCAATCCAGAAAATAGCGTTCATTCCTTCTTCTTTTGCTCTACGGCAGTACTCAAGGGCAATCTGTGACTTCCCTTGACCGCCCATGCCTCTCAGGACAACAACATGGCTTCCACAATCTTGGCTGGAATTGAACGCCAACTCTATCTTGGCCAAGATATCAGTGCGGCCAACAAAGTTGGGAACAAGCTGACCAAATGGAACTTGGTAAATGTTCCTCATAGGTGGTTGTAGAGTTGACAATGGCTTGTTTTTATGCACACTGAAATTGCCATAGGTAGTTTGTATGTCTTCAAGTCTGCTCTGTGCATTAGGGGTCATGTTTCCGAAGTCAACAAGGAGGTCAGATCCTTGGTAACAACACCAAGTCGTCTAGTGTCTGGTCGTTTTCTTTTTTTCACTTCGGATTTGATGGAATTTAAGAGGTTTCTGCACTTGATTAGAAAGCAAATCGAGGATTGAGATAAGCAGACTCACGAATTGGTCTCAGCAATTGCGACCAACGGATGCTTTTCTCATTAAAAGTTTGCCGAGTTACCGGGGAATATGTGTTTATTTAATCGATGCTGACACCCGTTTGGCCAGTCTCACAACTAGAGTAGCGGGAATTCGCGGCACCGATTGCCAATTAATCCGACTCTTGTTAAGACTACCTCGTGCACGTTTCGAGAGTAGGGGGGATAATTTTGAACGAAGCCTGTATAGAGCTGAATATCTCCTGGAGGTCTGGCGATATCTATCAGCTGTCATCATATCAGCCAGTGACGTGGGAGTACATATAGGGTGAAAGAACATGGTTTTATGTTGACCAAGAAAGTGAGTTCCGTCGGCCAAAGGAGGTATATTAGCGAACATGTAAGTCTACTCGCTTCGGCTGTTCATGACCTCTCTACTCGGGAATATTGTGAGAAATCTTACGCTCGAGTTGCAGTAGGTGCTACCAGGTCATCGATGGGCCATAGTGTTTCTTGTAGATATCGCAGGCAAACTCGTTGACCACGGGGTAAAGACAATCAGGGGCGTGACAGCAAATACTGCGCCAAGGATACAAATCCATAGTTTACTGCTTTTACTTTTGCCGGGCGGAGTTGACCATTGGATTGGTGAGAACTGAACGACAGAGACCCACGCTGAGCTGCCAGAACCTCGTGCTGCATGGAAGAGGAGACTGGCAATTGGCATGCATGGAAACTGGCCGGCCGGCCACAGTATTAACTCGAAAGATAACCTCGAAGGAATCAAATCAGTGGTCATTCGGAAAGGGAGTCTCCTCGTGATTGACAACGAAATGAAAACTGAAGTGAGATGTCCTAGGACCTCAAGGTTCACTGTTTACATACCGCCTCCATTGCCACACCAAGTTCGGGCTTATTGTGAATACTTGTCTGTCAACCAATTGAAGTTACTCTCATGGAACACTCACAGAGTGACTGCATGCTACCTCCTGTAGGTCGAAGCGGTGAGATTCGACCATCGGGGTAGAGAGGCAGAGCGGCAATAGCAAGAAACCCCAGCGTTCCGGACTTCCAATTGAAAAAAGGCGAAAACCCGAGAAACTGGTAAATAGCCCTCACAGGTCAATCAATCAGCCCAAGTGCCCGATGATTTTCTCGGAAAGTGTTGCATAGCTAGAGGGCTTACCAGATAGGCGACCCTTCGGCTCTGGTAGGTGCTGCGCTGTTCTTGTTATCGGAAGTGTTCTCTACTTTGGGTTGTCTTGAGGTGGATAACTATTGGCTCGTTGAAGATTCTGACATGCTTTGCATCAGAAATCCCGGCTTACTCTTGCTCTATTCGTGTCATCCTATGCATGTCAGTATGATCGTGAGCAAATGGCGATAAGTCTGAGGCAGTAACGAAAATAGAAGACACGAGCCCAGTCTTTTTATTGGCGGTAAGCACATTAACAGCTTCTCTGGGGTGAGAATTGGTACGTACGTAGTAGGTCGGGATTTTCAAAGGTGGTATTATTGGAATTGAGATGTTAAAGGAAGATGTGGGTACTGCTGCTGGTTTCCGGACCCAGCTCAGACCGTGACCAGCTGGTGGAGACTCGGGATTATCTACATGTTCTACAAAACATTTCTTTAAATACATGCTTACTTTAAATGTGCTATGCTATTCTGTGTTACCAACTGCAGTTTTTGTAGGGAGTCTAGCTTTAAGTCACGTGTAAGAGAGGCGGGCATTACTCCGTACACACCTGAGTTATAAAAATATTAATCTAAAGACCTTATATAACTAAATTAATTATACAAGTAGTTTAGAAAACTTGCTACTTTTCAATTCTTATTGTACTAGGTGAAATAGGACAATTAAGTTACTTGTGCCAGAGTTTTGACATAATAACTTTTGATAGCGTGTACAGAGCAAGGCTCGCCTCTCTTACCAGTTCTGTAGGTAGTAACCCTCCCGATCGGGCTGAATTGGAAATATTTACCACCACTGTATCGTGTTCATCAATGATTAAAGCTGACTATATCCAGCTAAAATGAGTCCTATTAAGAGTTTTGTGGAAATTCAAATCTGATCATCTACTGCTCTCATTTTGACCTGCTGCTGATCCTTTGGGGGTGCAGGCATTCATGATTGGATTGATGACGAGTTGAAAAACTTCCATTTAATGGCTTAAATTGCTTAACATAAGCCTATAAAAACAAAAACATCTATTCTAAAAGACTAGAAACATTGAGTTGAAAGTATTTGATTATTAGAGGAGCTGTGGCGTGCCATTGCAGAAGGCCAAGTGACCATGGTCGTGTGACTACCGGTAAATTCACGAATCCTGCATTTCATGCATTTGCTGGCGAATGGCTTGGTTAGAGGATAAAAAACGAAAATATTCAACTCTGAATATTGGCACATCTTTTTCAACCCTCAAAGTCTTGGCTGTTTGTGCTTGTGTTTTCGGAGACCAGAGATGTGAAGTATTAGCTAGGCGAGTTTGATAATATTGGTGATATCACCTCATAAGGCTTAATTTAGGTAAAAAGGACCCAAAATATCCATCATTTCCTCACCGAATCAGACTTGTTTGTTCATCATCCCCACATTAATGTTCGGTAGAGGTCTTGGATAAAACGTTTTTTGGATGCTCCTCATCGAAGCCCCGTGGACCAAAAACTTAGCATGAGAACAAAGAGAACCCATCAAGACCCCAATTTGCCAAATGCAGACAAATAAATCCATATCAGACATGTTCGTGACTTGGCAAGAGTCCCAGTAAGTTCATTACTCCTTTCAAGTGCTCCATACCACCATCTTGCACAACAGTAGCCAGGATCGCTTCCATGGTATCTGACTTTGTTCTGGCTCCAATCTCCCGAGTAAGAGAGGCGGGTATTACTCCGTACACCCCTAGGTTATAAAAATATTATCCTGAAGACCTTATACAACTAAATCAATTATACGAATAGTTTAGAACAATTGTTACTTTTTATTTCTGATTGTACTAGGTGAAATAGGACAATTAAGTTACTTGTGCCAGACTTTTAGTATCATAACTTTTGAAAGCGTGTATAGAGCAATGTCTAGATATCTTACTCGTATTCAAGTTGATGAATCTCCAAATTTCCTTCTCCTCGCATACTTTCACCATATTCGCGTTACACATATACTTGGTTTGCCACTCAGCTGCCTTCTCTATTTGCCATAAACATTAGCTTCCTAGTTCACCTTCAAATGTTCCTTGAACCTTACCGATTCTCGAGGGCCTGATGGGATGATTAGTCGTACGTACAAACCATTCCTCAAGTATTACGACTCTTGCCCAAGCATCGCCAACCACCGCCATTCGTTTTTTGCCCTTTGAATCGATATGACGAGTTCCAGACATGCGGTAGCCCGATCCTGGGGCCTGCAAAGCCTCCCAAATGATGTTTTTGTCTTCAAATGTATATTGAATGATTTTCTCAATGCCTCGGATCATTTGTTCTTTGTTTTGTTCTGGGGCCATGAAGGTAAATCTCAATCGGCGAGTAACTTTTGTTGATACGTGGATTATGATTTTGATCAATATTATGCTTTTCGGTCGTATGTGTTGCGGCAATTCTCTTGAAAAGGTCCGAGGAGTAGTTTGATATAAGTACGTCAGCTTCAGTAGAACATCTTGTGACTGGTAATATATCATCTGAGCCTTTCAATCGATGCAATTTATTCATTAAATGGGACGAGAATTAATCCTCATCTTCAAATAAGTGCTCGATAGACTAGAGTTATTTCGAATTGATTGACACTCTACACATTCAACTCCATCTCAACACTCTAGAGTCAACTTTCTCAGTAGATGTCGGAGTACAGCCCCCTGTCCAAGTTGATCCTTCTGGTAAATCTTGTTCTCCTCATAACTGTACTCGCTCAACTCCTTCACAGTTTCGAATATGACAACCTTTCCGCTTTCTCCTGCCCTTCCCCATTGTATGAGATCAACGATTTTGACGTGGGTGCTTCTTACTTTCTGCAAGTTGTGTTGTTAATGTCTGAAAGCTGTCGGAAGAGTTTGAAATACTCACGAATCGACACGCCCTGCAAGTTGTTGGAAGAGGTTGAATATTGACTGCGCGACAGAGAGAATGCCAAGCTTTAATGTCATCTTCAATCCCAAACCACATATTGAATTCAGACGTAAGTGCTGCTTGATACCGCTCCCAAAGTTCGTTTTCATATTCATTCCGGGTCTCGTATGTGTTTGGGTTCCAATGATGCCAACTACCTCCTCTATATCGCAGTAAACGGAAAGAGTCTGATGGTGGTAAGGAGACGTCGTACAGAAACCCGATGAAAGTGCCAAAGAAGGAATCGAGGGGTCCACTGTGTGGAGTGGGTACGGTCTGGATAATCTTTTGAATCACCTCCATATTTGTGTCAGTGCTTTAATTGGGCCAGCAGACTTGCAACTTACCTGATCATTTGCTTTACAACTCTTACGGGCAGCGATTCCTTGATGTTGCAGCTGTAATTTTGAGCCATGATCGCCAATACTCTCCGGGACAGGAATCGCTGTCTGAGATGAAGAGCTCGTAGCACTATTACTGCCCTCCGATTGGGACAACATAGCAACCGCATGTCGTTTGCCAGAAAGATGAGAATCTTTGTTTTGTATACCCATCTCGATATCGCACGCTGCACATGACCACCGTTCTTTGACCTCTGGAGTTGGTGGCTGGTGACGATTTCCCTTCTGCTCCAATCTTGCTACTGTCGATGGGTGTTTCCTGCCAGAAACGTGAGAATTTAAATCTTTCGAGGTCTAATGCCATTGGATTTTAGTCGTTTGCAGTGCACCTCGGGTAACTTACTTTGAATCATCCTTCAATACCCACTTAGTTATCGCTACAGTGTGTCTCTCACTGGAAATATGTTGATGATACTTGCACCACGGCATCCAAATGTTGCAAAAATTGCAATTCCACTGACTAGTTGCCATGATCAACAGAAAGCCCCAGCGATTCTCTCGTGGCCGGTTGTTTGCAAACGAATGGAATGGCACATTTGCAAGTGTTGATGTGCTTTACTCTATGCAGTGTAACCTACTCCTTGCTCCTACATGCAGGATGGAAAAGGTCTCAGCCGATTCAATATGCGGAACGTCGCTGCAAATATAATTTTATCAGTTCATAAAAGAACAGGAAGAACCATCGTTGTTCGTGAAGATTGTAGTAATCGGTCAATTAAAAATACGGGGAAAACACGCACAATACTCGCTAAGTCTAAGTTTGCAGATTCATGCGAGCGATGCCGTCGAGCTCAACAACAACGAGCGACATGGAAACAATCTTGTACGTGATACCCGGACTCAGGATTGAATTGCTGTAGTTCTTTTCTTGTTCATTTTTAGGGGATGCCATGCTTGTATCTTTCACTTTCCTTGCTTTTTGGAGAGGCGAATTTATATCATATATTTGTAAGCTAGAGAAAACATACCGGGGAAATAAGTATTCCAACGGCGAAGTACCCAGAAATTGTTTCATGGAAAGAAGGGATACTCTTCGCTGATGTCAAAAGAAGCTATCATTCCACTTTTTTTAAGGCCGCTAATTATTTTTCAATAATCCCCTAATCTCTGAGAGCGAGGGGTAGATTTGGTTTCTTCTTTTCACTATAATGAAAGACAAACGTTACTTATTGCAGATATATTCATAGAACGTTAAGATCGCACAACAGGTATGAGTTTAGAGGTAACCTAAAAATGATGCATTTGGTTTAAGCGAAGACCGAGCTGCTGAATATACCATGATAGTCACTTGTCGCAAGCAGAGCAGTTGACTTTAGGTTTCCCGTAATGAGCGGGTAGAACTCTCCTAATATGGTCTTTATTCTTTAATTGCTCCAAGCAATTTATCCTGCTGCACCACTTTTTTCAAGTCACATAATCGCAAGACACAGAGCCCAAGAGGAACAAATCGAGGCAATAATAGAAACAAATTGAAAACGTATATTCTTCTATCATGTATCACTTTAGTCGTTTTAGGTATGCAAAGTGATGACACGAAAGGATATCTACATAGCCAAAACCACAACCAAGCCAGAAAGAAAGACGAGGGCACTGGAGCCTTCCGTAATAGCAGATGCGGCTCCAGTTGGCATATTGGCAGGCATCTTACCAAGCGATACACCAGTTGGCATGGAAACGTATCCAAGATTAAGAGTGCTGGCGGGAGCAGGAAGAACCCCGTTGTCAGCTAATGTAGTAGGAGCGGGAATAGTAGGAGCGGGAACGAAACTTGTTGGTTTTGCAACTCCTGTGCATCCTTCTCCAACGCATGAAGAGACGAAAGTGATCGGGATCTCTTCCACCTTTAAGGAACTTGAATTGCGGATGATGGAAGAAGAAGATGAGAAGATTGGACGAGACACAACGCTCGTAGTGTTTCTGTAGGGACACATTGGACTTCCTACACCTCCACGACATGCTGGGACAATCTCTCCCGTGGGGACAACTGGGGCATGTGTCTTTGGCGGGATGTTGCAGCTGAGTGTAGCTGTATCTTTAGATACAGGGCCTATAGTTGTGTGTAAGGTACTGTAACTAATTAATACATGTTTCTTGTCGAATTGAAATCGCTGGAAGTTAGGGAGGCAAAATAGAAGATTCTCTTGATTGGTGGGGATGGGAGTTTGCAAACAAACGACATAAAGTGAAAGGTTGCATACATAGTACTAGTCGTGGTGGCGCCAATAGAGCAGCTGCCCATTTTCGTAGGACACTCAGTGACAGTCCCAATTTTGACCATGTAATAAATTGAAGTTTCCAACGGAACAGAGCTGTATATGGTTGGGCTGGCAACCGTAGAAGTGTTGGTGTAGTGAGTACCATTGCTTGAAGGGTGTGAGTGCCTGTTCACATATTGTTAGTGAGATGAATTGACCATATTGGAGTATAAATACTTACGCAGCTACCGTGCCAGCACAAGCAAGCGCCAAAGCGCCCGCCTTCAGGAGGAAAGCAGGCATGATTGTAATATCAACAATAACTTAACGAATGGCTTGACGTGTATACGTCAAAAGAGGGGCGTCCCTTTTTCAAAACGGGTATGAAAAAGTTTCCGTCCTTATTCTTTTCATGGTGGCCAGCTAGATTTGTTTAATATCTTCAACCTTCGGGACTGACCTAGCCGCCTTTGGGCACAAGTCCAAACGTGCACTCATGGTGTGGATATACAATGGGTACATCTAGAGTAGTACCAGGAGCTGAGCCCCTTTTGAGTCTGTTACCCACGTGAAGTTCCATCAAAGTCCACTTTTGCGCTGTGGAAGAAATACGAATACGGCATGATTCCCGAGAGAAGTGGGCCAGCAGACTGCCTTCTCATTGGCCTATCCCGCACCAATCGTTAACCGGCCCCTTTTATCCTTGGCATTTCTCTACATGCTACGAGGGTTGGCGGTTTAACCTTGTAATTTCATATTATCCTCCTCCTTCTTGGTGGCGTAAGATGTGCTTCAAACAATACTGATTGGTGGGAACGCCTGGGAAAAGCTTCAACCTCGCAAATTTCAGCCCTAGCCCTGACTCCACTACAATGTTTTTGCATGCATCGAGAGCTCTGGCCCAGGGGAGTACTCTGCATTTTGAATCGTTCAAACCGCTCATGGGTTAGCTATGCATACTGTGCTTGAATTCATGGACTCTCAACTGACCAAGTTCATCTGAATACAGTGCCACATCCCTGTGGCCTCGCCAAAACTCTAGCAACAGCGCCATCAGGCTCCGAGCTACCAGTGAGCATTAAACCCCCTCTCAAACTGGACTTATGCAACTTGCACGTACGTAAGGAATAAATTGAATAAATACTTAGAACTATAGCAGTAGACCTCAGAAGTGCTATACCGGTAGCTTAGAACCGCTCCTATCCCAGGTTTTGGCGCTGACATGAGCTCGGATGAGCAAGACCTTCCTAACACTTCAACGCAACATACTCAAAGACTACTTAGAGTGATCGCATTTGGCAGAAATTGCTTCCAATGGCGCGTGTTTGCATTTCTCAAGTAAAGTTGCAAAGAAAATCGGGGCATTGGGCTAAGAAGTTGTCAAAAAGCAAGCGGCTTCAAGGGCGTGGGGAGTCTTCCCATCCACCGTGTTATCTCACTAACTGGTCCCACACTATGATTGGCCATTGGACTGAAATTCTTTATACTACACTAAGAGCTATTAGTGTCGACACTAGCAAATTGGCAATTTCAAAAATTTGACATTCACCTACAAGGGGGGCCTCCTGAGATATCTCTTTTTGCTTGTCAGAGCGACCAGGCAGGACATCTTGGCTATTTGGGAGACAAAACAGGACGGCAGAGGAAGTCTTTTTGCACTTACTCATGGTCTCTTGATGAGTCTCTGACTTTTGAAAGAAGCTGCTATTAAAAACATCAGCAGCTCACGAATCACTTCATAGGGAAATGCCTTGGGCACAAGTAGCACAATGTAAAAATATCATTTCACGGCAAAATAGAAAAGTTGTAAAAGAAAAGCTTCAACGTGTCATTGGTATCTCTAAGAATTGTTAAAAACGCCGAGGAAATCAGTAACAACAGACCAGAAAAACCCATCAGCGACCTTAGAAAAGCAGACACGAACGCCAGTCCAAATGACAATCCCAAAGATTAACACACCAGATAATCAACTACAAACACCCAAAAGCTTCAAAAATTAGCAGGCAGGATACCACCGAGATGATTACACCAAGTCTTGCTCTCTCGAAAACGATTGGGAATTGCAGAAAGATTAGGAAACGCCAGAAGGAAAAAACAACCACCGCAAAACAAATACTGCAAAGCATCTTGAGCACTGCTGTGAAAAGAAAAGAAAGGCTCGGTTGTAAAAGGCATTGCAAGACATCTGTGAGAAGAAGCGACGCAAGCAAGAGGTTGGCAAAGACGAGCTTCGCACCCTAAATTCCATCACACGATAAGTAATGTGTGACAAGCCGAGGTTATGTAAGACGTAAGAGAACAGCAATGAGCAAGCAAGAAAGCGAGCAAGATGGCAAGTATGAAGTACAATACCGATTGAATGCCACCTAGAGCCAAATCAAAAGAACCATTGTGGCATGTGGCAGACAAACCTAGGCTCTACTTCTTTTGCGAATACTTTCTTGGGCGGCCGCGACCTCGCTTGATGGGACCCGGATTGACGGTTCCTGGTTCGACGGCTTGCGGGTTGGCTCGTGGGATGGCAATTTGTGCGTTGATAGCTCGTGGGTGGGCAATTTGTGCGTGGATAGCTTGTGGGTCGGCAACTCTTGGGTTGGCAGATCTTTGGTTTACGCCTCCTGGGTTGACGACTCTTGGGTTGACTCTATTTGGTTCATCGTCCTTTGGCTTATCGTCAATTGGATTTTTGTATCCCCAGGGTCTATCAGGACGGCCTTGTATCATACTCATCGCCAAGAGAGGAGCGCCTCTGTAAATGGAAAGGTTAGCTGTAATCTTTTCACGAGAATGCAAGAAGATAGATATAATCAGGAGCAGAAATAAAGATACACTTACGGTTCGTTGACAGGAATAGGCTGGGCCGCTAGAGCGGTAACTTCGGGCACCAACTTTGGAGGAGGAGGGATGGGATGTCCAGGTCGCTGGCCGCCATAAAGGGAATTCCGAATCATTCGCTTGACGTCTTCAGTCAGATCGAGAGGAGTGCCATCTTCTACATTCCAACCCTTCCATGCATAAAACTGTTTGAGTTCATTCCAACCTTGGCTCCACAACTTGGTCTCGTATTTGCCGAAGGTGAATGACTCGAGGCTGCTATGTTCGATGTTGTCAGAGTCCCAGTAAAGGATTGCGCGCCAGACACTACAATAGAATGGTACTTGAGGTCGCACGCCGCCTGGTTTGACAATTGGGCTGTGGCGGACAGTGACAAATTGCATTCGTCTCTTTCTGGGTGCTCCTCTGAAGGAGGCTTGGTATCGTTGCTCCTCCTCTCGCGACATCCAGTATACGTAACCAAGTGCGCCAGTCCACCATTCTGGACGGTATGGGATTGGTCGCAAGTTTGGCTCTCCTGTGATTCAAGTCAGAGCAATATCATGATATTCGATAGGTGGCAAGCTTACCGACTTGGTTGATATGGAATTGCCAGTAGCCAAGCCAGGCAAAACCAAAGCACTTCGCAGAGGGGTACTGCGACTTGAACTCCGTCACCGAGAGATGGTGACTGTACACAAAGACCAGGATATTCTCTGGTGTACCATCCGCCTGGATGCGGAATGGATACACGAGGCTGGCCTCGCGGCGGGCGTACTCGTCAGACGATATTTGCTCAACTCGTGCCATTGCTGGTGGTTGCGCTGGTTGTTGAGCAGATTGCGGGGCCTGAAGCACAGCGAGTAGATTTAAGTCTGCTGCATGCCGAGTGGCTCGGCGTGCAGCGGCATGATTGAGCCAATTGTTCATTCTGTTAATTAGTCGGCGATGTCAATGTCATGTCGTCGGTTGAACAAGTGGTGGTGGTGGTTTGTGGATGAAGTTGTAAGCGAAGAACCGATGCACCAGAAGCGTGTCAATGTGTCTTTTGCTTTCCAGCAACGCCAAATAATCTGAATGATCAAAAGAATTACAAGAATCACAATATTCATAATATTCATTCATTATTCACTCAGAAGTACGAGAAGACTAGCAGTGTTGTCTAGTCGGTGCTTGGATAAAGAATTTGTCTTAACCCTCGCACTCACTGGTTTCAACTAGAGAAACAAGAGTTCAGTGTATATTCTTTTTGCCTAGGAGTTTATTAATATATTATCTATTGTTAGACTAGTAAACTTAGTTAATTTAGAGATTCAAAATAATTGAAATGTCTTAGCATTTTTCATGAACTTGTCATTTGAATCTTCCTTGTATTATTATTCGTCTATGCCTAATACTTCAAAGATACAAAAGAAACTCATTAATATAATAATTTCTAGACAGACAACATAAGGAAACCTTCCAACCCAGAGGTTAGATCTACAGTAGTAACCAGAATATGCTACTTTTTACACTAAATACCCCTTAGTAACTTACGTTAAAAAACCTTCTACTTGGTACTATGTATTTGTATTTATATATCTTTTTATTAATAACAGTTTTATATTTGAAGTATTACTAGTAAATGGCATAATATATGTCAATATATGGTTGAATAACAAAATAAAGAGTCCAAAACTCGTGGCTAGTATCATATATAACTGCGTGTCAACGCAGTACTACTGTACCAGAGGCATGTGCCTATACGAAGAGTGAATGCCAAATACTCAGGACAATATTTTCCACCCGCCTAGCTACATTTTGGTATGGGCACGCTTGTATATTATAGATGCCTCAAGTACTGTTGCAGGATAATTGCTATTCACTCACTACTAGCGCGGCACTAGTGGCACTAGCTTCAAAACTGGGTATTTAATACCCACCTGTACCTTACTATTACAATTGAAGAGTTATCCCCTTTATAACGAACGACAGGTTATGAGGATAGTGGCGTAGTTTGCAGATCCTACAATTGATTGATAGGATTGAATACCTGTCTTGGTGGTTTGTTCCGTACTTGGTACCGTGTTCTTCCACTCACCAGGTGAGAGAGGAGTAGCGACAGGATTGCAGTGCTCCATATTGAATCTCTTGAGAATCTTGTTAACATACGCATCTTGACATAAATATAGTTTGCGCTATACTCGATCTCTCTTGACTCGTACTCCTAGGAAGTATTGTGCAAGGCCTAAATCCTCCATCTGGAACTTATCTTAGCCCTTATCCGCTAGTCATATGGCCGGTTCTCCCCCCGACCCGACCCCGCCCCACCCTAACTACTACTAGCTAATTATAACCTACCCCCCGAAACAGCTATCTAGCGTCTAAGGGAAAATAGCGATTATTTAAGTAATAGCCTCTAATCTAAGGTTAAGACTTAGTATAACTACAATACTATATCTTTTATAACCTAGTTAATAACTACTATACCCTTAATTATCCTTATTTTTTATATAAATAAAAGGTCTCGAGTCTATCTACTAGCTAAAGCGTACTAGAATACCCTACTTACTATAGATATACTCCTATCTAGTATTATAGATATAAACTCTCCCTAACCTTCTAGCCCTCTCTCTAATCTTCTTTTAATATCTCTTACTATAGAAGTAGTATATCTTGTATCTTAGAGCTTCTTCTTAAATATATAAGCTTCTAAAAATACTAAGAATTCGTCTACTAGCTAGGCTTAATGATTATAGTAGTATAAAAATAACCCTATATAAATACGTAACTAAAGACTAAATAAAAAGCTTTAAGTTATATATAAGGCTCTCTAGAATTACTAATAGTTATTTAAAGATTTTATTACTATATAAGTTAAAGAATAAAAAGATTCTATATATATAATAATTCCTAGACTTATTTAGAATATATAATATATAGTAGTTAAGTCTAAGTAGTATATACTTTATAATACTTTTATATATTCTTACTTTTCTAAATATAATAAAGCCTTCTTAAATCTTAATAGTACTCTTATCCTAGCTAAACTAGACCTCCTAATATTATTATCTTTTTACTTTTCTAAATTTAATATATTTATATCCTTAGATAGCTTAGACTTTAATAAAGCGTTCTAGTATATAGTATAATACTTTTTTAGATAAAAGGCTTTTCTTAATAGTATTCTACTCCCTTCTTACTTATCTTAGAAAAGCTATTATAAAGAAAAACGCTAAAAAAAGGCTAAGACTTAAGATACTAAAATAAATACTAGATATAAAAAGTAGACATATATAATTATATTAATATACTATAACTCTTAGGCCTAAAAGAACTCTAATTAATATATAGATACTATAGATATATATCTATTAAGCTATAAAGTTAAATAATAGGTAATTACTTTTCTTATAGGATTAGAGCTTTATTATATATATAAGACCATAAATTAAGCAGTTAAGAAAGTCTCTTAAGAAGCTAAGGTAAGATTATTAGCCTTATATTCTTATCTTACCTAAATATATATAAACATTTAAGGTTTCTCTAGACTCTTCTATAGATAAACCTAATAAGAATAATAATATTTTACAAGCTATTATTTTATTTAGTAGTTTTTCATTAATATATTTCTTTCTTTTATTTATTCTTTATATATAACGTGCATGTATAGCGAACCGGCCAAACAAGCGAACCGGCCAAAATTTTCTACACTCGCGATTGAAATTGTAGGAACTCTACCACAACGCCTCTAATTAAAAAACACTATTCAGAAATTTCTTCCTCAGATACTTCCTCTATAATATTACAGGTGCGCGTATTATGACCAGTCTCTCCGCAGTTGCCACAGCGCCATGCACGTGATTCTTCCCTCGGCTTCCGACCACTACTTCTCTTTATTTCCTGCATTACCTGCTCACCAACGTCTCTATCATCCTGTAGGTCCTGCGCTTCCTGTTGACTAAGTGATCCTCCTTGCTGTAGGCGTGTTTTTTTAGCTCTACGGCGCTTACTTAGTACTTCATTTGCTTGTCGAAGTCTCTGGTTCTCAGCTTTCAATAGTACTATCTGGTGCATTACTTTTGATGCACCCTTCGTAAACTGGTCAATGGCCTCGTAAATAGGGGTTGGAGAGCTACTTTGGTGGCGTAAAATTCGATCTTTAATAAATGCAGTCTGTGATAAGGCTTCAGTAGGGTTATTTGGTGTCTGGGAAACCCAAGGCTGAGCGGAATACGGGGGGGAGTTTGGAGGCGTTGGCGTCTTTAGCTTAAGATCAAGTGTAGAAATTACACTTTCTGGGTCAAATGGAAGAAGCCCAGCCCCTCGGAACCCTCCTCGGATATTGCTTTCTGTCATTGCAATATTAAATGCGGCGTGGAAGGCAGGAAAGAAATCATCCTTAGTAATATGGATGATCTGAGCCCGCATCATATCTTCAATTTGCTGACCATATGCCCTTTTCAAAGGGCTAAAACAGCCAACGTCGAGTGGCTGGAGTATATGAGAAGAATGAGCAGGCATACAAAGAGTGATAATGTTGTTTTCCTTGCAATATTCCTCAAATTCGTCGGAGTGGTGGCTTTCATGGCCGTCGAGGACTAATAGACGATAACCACCAATAGATTGGGACTTTGTATGCTTCTCAAAATGTCGAATCCAATCCATGCCTTTCTCATTTGTTGTCCAACCATTTTCAGTAATAGCAATCACCCAGTTAGGTGGAAATCCACTGTTTTGGTACCAAGAAGCGAGGTGATCTTTTGCGGCAACAATCACAAACGGTGGAACACACCAGCCTTGGGCATTAACCCCCTGGATTACTGTAACCCATTCCCGATTACCAGGCTGTACTCTTTTTGCTTTTACACGTCCTTCTGAGCTTGTAATAACCATTGCAGTTGAGATAACGCCCATCATAAACCCAGTCTCGTCAAAGTTGTAGATATCTGCATCGTAGATTCCGTACTTCGCTATTGTGTTTCGTACAAGCTCAAACCAGCCTCATTCGCTCAAACCAGCCACGAATGACTTCTGGATCTTCGCACTTAGCTCTCGGATAGTCGTATTTTCGTTGGAAGCGTGTCTGGAGTTCTGGGCGGCGCTTAACAAAGTTATAAGCCCAACGCGTCCCGACGCGTGGCGCGTCGCGTGCTTCAAGAAGTCGATTTGCTATATCTTCAACTACAGATATCCGCGGAGGAAATCCTTTTGTAGCTAGGTCGAGGATATGTTGAACAAGTACTGATTCCTCTAGCTCGGTCATTTTCCGTGAATTGGCTAAAATATCGCGTCGTGAAGGTATACCAAGCAAACGTCGACCTAGCTTCCGGTGGTCTACAGAATAGGTCCTGGCAGCAGCTCGAGCACGTAAATTTCGGTCTTTTTGCATAGCTTGGATAGCTAAGACTAACCTGCTTTCGTCGTTTTTCAGAGGCATCCTTCGTTGTAGAGAAATTTAATATTTCGTGGAGGTGTGGTGGGGTCGCCGGGTTTTGGCCGGTTCGCTTGTTTGGCCGGTTCGCTATACATGCACGTTATATTTAATTTCTTATATTACTAATAATCCTTTTATTACTTACTTATACTAATAGTTATAGTTATAAAGTATTATTACTATATTATAGCTATAATCTTTAAAAATAATAGAATTATAATAACTATAATTAGATAAAAAGTACTCTAGAAGAGCTACTTAGCTATAAATATTATATATAAGCTATAATAACTAAGATAGTCTTTTACCACTCTTTTATACCTAAGACTAGCCTTCTTTAATTAATATATTATTTAATATATTAGTTAAAAGTTAAGGAAATTACAAAGAGTCTAGAGCTTATTAAGAAGTAGAACGCTTTTTATAGAAAAGGCCCTCTTTTATTATAAGTTTAGGGGGTAGATTTTAATACTATTAGTAGTTGAATATCTTATAGCCTTATAGTAGACTATAT